CCAGCATTGGTTAAGGACACTTTGATAGCAAATTACAGAAGCCAGCGTCAGACACTTAGGGCTGCAGAGGTGTCTGAGGGACCTCAGCACAGGACGTGTGGCTGGTGCTGAGGAGGGGAGAAACCAGAGTCTAGAAGGCTTGGGGGACTCATTCCACCTCCCAGCTTTGCTTTTCTCATATAGTCTCTTGAGACCTGTCTGTGCAGATCGGCTTTCTCCGCTTGCTTCCCCTGCCCAAGTTGTAGAGGCTGGCTGATCCTCAGCCCCCAAGTTTACATGTTTTGGTTCCAGGCTTGTACAGACTAACTTGGTGAATCTTTGTCTCAGTTCTTAATTTCCCCAAGAGAATGTGATTGGCCCAGCCTGAGTTAGTGTTTACTTCTCATCGAGTCAGTAGCCACAGTCTGGGTGTGGGGTCCCCAGGAAAACATGGCTGCTGGGGCCTAGCCTGTGGCTTGGATAGGAGCTTTTCTGAGAAAGGGGCCGTTCTCGGGTGAGCAGGTTCTCCAGAAGGTATACTTTCCCTTTCTGGGCCTCAGTTTCCTTCGTCAGTAAGACGCAGGAGTTACAAAGCCTCTTCTCATTCTGGGATTCCTCATATATGCAGGCTCTCTTGGTGCAGGAGAGCTGGGTTTTAGACTGTGGAGCATCTAGCCCCCCAACCGAGGGCCCCCAGACTTCCCCTGTGGTCTCTGCTTCCTGAGTCCTGCCACCTTCCCACTCCCCTGAAGGCCGTCAGAGCTTCAGGCTCAAATGCATGGAGCCTGATGAGCTTGGTTTGGGAGCTTCTCTCCTGTTTGCCTCTGCCTGACCTCCCAGTGTGATCATGTCAGGCCTGGCCCCCAGACCCTCTGCTTTTCCCTGCAGCTAGGAGGCAGGCTGTGGGCCCAGCCACCTCAACATTGTCCCTCTCTTGGTCCCAGTGCTGCCGAAGCCCAGGAAGCAAGGAGACCGTTCACCATTGAATCCTTCCTTTGACTCCTCAGGGTGCTTATTACTCTAGCATCACCCTTGCCCCAGCCACAGCTGCCTAGCATGGAGGGCGCCACTTTGCCCAGGTGGCCCTGAGCAAGCTCTTTCCTTCTGTGGGCCTTGGGCCTCATCCCCAAAGGGGTCAAGGTCGGGCCAGATAAGCAGATCTCAAACCAAGGGAAGTTGATTTAGGTGTCCCAGTGGTTTCGTATCAATTCACAGAAAACGTTTGTGGGTACAGTGTCATTTTAGGGTTGTTGTTTCTTCCCCCTGTAAATTTGCCTTAGTTTTTTGGCATTTGTTGTTTACCTTAGTAAGCAAGCAGTAAAAGGCATATTAATGAAAATACCTGAAAATGGTTAGTTGAGAGCTTGATCTTCAGTGGATATTTTTGCTTGTGGTTGTGATTTTACATTAATTTTTGCATTAAGATATTCATGTAACATTCTGTTAGAAACATTGTTCTGCATTCATAGGATGTGTTTAGGTCCAGAGTTTTATAGTGCTTTGGAGAGAATACTGACTTGGGAGGCAATGTTGTACCATGATGAAGATCTGGAGTCAGACTGCCTGGGTTCAAGTGCCATTGCTATTGCTTCTTCGCTCTGTGACCTTGGGTGAGTTACTTAACTTTTCTGTGCCTCAGTGCCAACATTTCATGTAAAAAAAGGATTTACTTCATAGGGTCGTTGTGAGGATGAATAAGATGATACGGGTAAATCTCCTAGGACAGTGCCTGCCAGTTAGCATGTAATAATGGACACTATTATCATGGTGACTTCCAGTAAGTTTGAAATTCCCCTGTGATCTCTTAAAGTTTTAGCTCAGTGTGTATATTTTCTGATCCCCATGTCCATGCATTAATTCAGCAAATGTTTATGGGGCTCCCTCTGTGCACATGCTCCCCTGGGGGCCTGCTTCAGGCCTGTGGCTTCAAGTCACATCTCTGATCATGCTCTCCAGAGCCTCCTGCCTGGTGACCTCTTGGGAATACTTGACACCTCCACATGGGTGTCCAAGAGGCATCTCAGTTTCGGTGTGGTCCAGCACAACTGCCCCAGTGTTCTCTTCTCCCAGCGTTTGCCGTCATATCCATCTGGTTCTCAAGGTGAGCACCCTGAAGTTAACCTGGATCCCTTCCTTTCTGCACCCCATCCCTGATTGCTAATCTGTCCTGTCCTTTCAACACTCTCTCCAAAACACCTTGAAGCCGCCCTGTCTCATCTCTGCTACCCCCACCCCTACCACTGTCATCCTCACCTGGACTGCAGACCTCCTGTCGCCTGGGCTCTGCCCTCCTGCTGTCCATGCTTCACAGGGTGGCCAGAGGTGTCTTCCACAATGTTGCGTCTGTGTCACACCACTGCTTAAAGCCTTCCAGTGGGTTATGTTAGAAGGAAATCCCAGCTCTGCATCTTGGTTCTCAGGCTCCTCATGGCCTGGGCCTTGCCCATGGTGCCATTCCCCCCGCCCCCCAACCTGGACACACCGCTGGCTGTCTAGACTCTGAGCATGTGGACCTTTTTTTATTGTAAGGTCTTGATTAGGCCTTCCCACTTCTGCCTGGGACGCTCTTTCCCGAAGCGCTCTACTTGTCCATCTCCTCCTTGTCCTTCACATCCCAGCTTGGATGCCAGCTCCCCAGGGAGGCCTCTCTGGCTACTCTCTTTCCCTCCTGTAACTCTGCATTGCAGTTAGCTCGATTGTTGTTTGATTTTTTTTCTTGTTTATTTAATGTCTGTCCCCTACCCTCATTCCCATGTAAGCTCCTTAGGCACAACAATCTTGCCTGTTTTGTTTTCTGCTATATCCTAAGTACCCAGAACAGAGCTTGGCAAGTAGGTAGTCAGCGAATATGTTTTTGTATAAGTGATGAACATCGACTGTGTGCCAAATACCATGCTAGGGGCTGAGGATACAAGAGTAGAGCACATGGGGTTTCTGTGCTGGAGGAACTCCCAGTTCAGCGGGGCGACAGACAAGCAAAGAGGGAATTAGAGTAGCACCTGAAGGTGAGGATGGGGTACAGGTGCTGAGTGCATTACCTGCTGAAGGGAGCTGCCTCTGTGTGGGGCCGGCCACCTTCCCTCAGGCTCACTAGGAGACAGCCATCACCCCTTGCCCCGCCTTCCCAAGCCTGAGTGAGCTGGAGGCAGGGGGAGAGCCATCAGGTCCAGGGACTTGTCAGTTCTTTGGCAGTGCAGGTGCCAGAGGAGTGGCCAGGTGAGGAGAGTCTCTCTTGTCAGCAACAGTGATCACAGCCCATCGTCTGGCAAAGATTGGATGTCCCGGTAAGAAAGGGCAGTGGGCATCTCCTTCCCAAATCGCAGGTCTGTACCTGTGCCCACTTGGGCAGGGAAAAGGAATTGGAGACAGATGGCAGGGTGGAGTGAAGGGGCGGCTGAGGAGCAGTCTGCCCCCCCGCCCTGCTAGCCCATCATGGACACGTGTTTCCCTTGATCATGTGGGCACTTTGGAAGGTACCCCACCCCCGAGGGCTGCCTGCCATATGAGGGACTTGAGTAGGGAGAAGCTGTGAGGTTCTTCCCCTGTGCTAGCTAAGGTGGCTACTACTGGCTCTAAGATTACATGAGTCCTAGAGCTGTCAGTGTCTTTAGAAGGGGCATTCCTTTTCACCAAAGAAGATATACAGATCTTCAGTATGTAAAAGATGCTCAAAGTCATTGGTGATTAAAATCCAAAACAAACCCGTTGCTATTGAGTTGATTCTGACTCATAGTGACCCTATAGGACAGAGTAGAACTGTGCCATAAGGTTTCCACGGAGCAACTGGTGGATTCGAACTGCCAACTTTTTGGTTAGCAGCCTGAGCTCTTAACCACTGCGCCACCAGGGCGTCTCATTAGTCATGAGGGAGATGCAAATCAAAACCACAGTGAAATACTACTTCACCTACACTAGGATGGCTATTATCAGAAAAACGTGTTGGTGAGAATGTGGAGACATTTGAACTCTTATCCTTTGCTGGTGGGAAAGTAAAATGATGCAGCCATTTTACATTCAGTTTGGCGGTTCCTAAAAAAAAACGCAGAATTACCATACGGCCCAGCAATTCCACTCCTAGGTATATACCCAAAAGACTTGAAAGCAGGAATGCAAACAGATACTTGTACACAAGTGCTCATTGCAGCGCTTTTCACAGTAGCCAAAAAGTGGAAACAACACAGATGTCTACCAACAGGTGAATGGATAAACCAATGTGGTATATACATGCAGTGGAATATTACTCAGCCGTAAAGAGAACTGAAGCTCTGCTACCTGCTACGACATGGGTGAACCTGTAAAATACGCGGAGTGAAATAAGTCACACACAAAAGGGCAAATACTGGATGGATGGTCCCACTTACATGAAATATCTAGAACAGGCAAATGCATAGAGACCAGAGTTTATTAGTGGTTACCAGGGATGGGTGGGAAGGGGAAAGGGGGAGTTATTGCTTAAGGGGCACTGAGTTCCTATTAAAGATGATGCAAAAATTTGGAAACATAGCGGGGATGGTTGCACAACATGGTGAACATAATTGTCAATGAGCTGTACATGTGAAAATGGTTGAAGGGGTAACTGTTTTGTTATTATGTATTTTACCACAATAAAAAAAGAAAAAATAGGCACTCCTGTGTCTCCCCATAGTTTCGTCAACGATCCCAGGGCCAGCTTTTACTTGGCCTGTTTGGTTCATGTGAACATCCGTGAACCAATCACTATGGCTCAGGAAGGGGTACAGTACTCTGATTGGCTAGCTTAGGTCATGTGTCCACCTCAGTGGAACATAGGAGGGTTGAGGGATCATCTCCACCCAAACCATATAGAGTGGGTTTCTCCTAAGAAAGATGGGCTTGTTCCAACAGGAAGGGGGCAAACTTTAGGCAGACAAAGTGAACAGAGGTCCATTAGTGTGAGGAGGACAGACAGCAGAGAAGGTGCTACTGCAAGTGCACTGGGCTGTAAGTGAGTGATGCTGGGGGAACAGCTGGGTGGTGACTGCTGTGTGTTGATCTCCTTCCAGAAAAGCTGCCAGACAGCCAGCATTGCCACTGCGGAGGCAGCCGCCCAGGCCAGGGAGCATGCCGATGCCGAGGTGCAGACCGAGCCCCCCATGCCACTTAGCATGCCTACTGCATCCCAGCAGGACAGCCCCCGGCTTGCAGCCTTTCTTCGGAGGGTGGAGGGCATGGTCATCCGAGAGCTGAACAAGAATCGGCAGAGTCATGCATTTGATGGCTTCGAGGTGAACTGGACGGAACAGCACCAGACGGTGAGGAATAAAGCGGTGCAGGCACAGAGAGCCCCCCTCGCCGGCTCAGGGTCCAAGCTTCTGCCCCTCTTTAAATCTTTCTTTTGCTCCACTTAAATAATGACAACACCAGTATAATACAGCTGGCATTCCTTGAGCTTGTACTTTCTGCCAGGTTCTGAGCTGTTTTATAAGAAGTCATTGGACCGTCACTATTGTTCTTTGAAGTAGGTCCTGTCGTTATCCGCACTTTACAGTTGGAAGTGAAGACCCAGAGTTGAAGTAACATTTCCAGAATCAAACTGAGCTAGTGAGTGATGGAGGCAGGATTTGAACCTGGGCAGTCTGACTCTGGATCTTACTCCCTTGGCCTCTCTGCTAGGCCTCCTCCAGGTGCTGTGCAGCCTACTAGGTACTAGGCTTCTCCCGTATTATCTCACTTATTCCTCAAAACAAGGTAGTACTATTAAGATCTTCATTTTAGAGATGAGAAAACAGGTTCAGAGAGACTAAGGGACTTGTGTAAGGTTACACAGCTGTCAACTGGCTGAGCTGAGATTTGAACCCTGGTGTGTCTGATTTCACTGTGTGCGCTATGACTTCAGTGTCTCCCAGGCACAGTTCAGAGTTGGACAGACACCCTAGGCTTTGAGATCAGGGAGCTGTTTTTTTTTTTTGATTGTACTTTAGGTGAAGTTTTACAGAACAAATAGTTTCTCAATAAACAGTCAGTACACATATTGTTTTATGACATTGGTTAACGACCCCACGACATGTCAACCCTCTCCCTTCTCAAACTTCTTTTTGGTGAAAATATACATAGCCAAAGATAGACCATTTCAAAAATTTCAACATGCACAGTTCAGTGACATCGATTACATTCTTCCAGTTCTGCTGCTATTCTCACTTTAGATGAAGGTTTACAGAACAAAGTAGTTTTTCATTAAATAATTAGTACACGTTGCCCTATGACAATGGTTAACAACCCCACTACATGTTAACACTGTCCCTTCTCAACCTTGGGTTCCCTATCACCAGCTTTCCTATCCTCTTCTGCCTTCTAGTCCTTGTCCCTGGACTGCTGTGCCTCATTAGTCCAGTTTTGTTTTATGGGGTTGTCCAATCCTCGGCTGAGTGGTGAACCTCGGAAGTGACTTCACCACTGAGCTAAAGGGTGTCTAGGAGCCATACTCTCGGGGTTTCTCCAGTCTTTTTCAGGCCAGTAAATCTGGTCTTTTTTGTGTGTGTTCGAGTTTTGTTCTACATTCTTTTCCAGCTCTGTCCAGAACCCTCTGTTGTGATCTCAGAGCAGTCAGTGGTGGTAGCCGGGCACCATCTAGCTGTACTGGACTCAGTCTGGTGGAGGCCTTGGTAGCTGTGGTCCATTAGTCCTTTGGACTAATCTTTTCCTTGTATCCTGTTCTCTTCATTCTCCCTTGCTCCCGAAGGGGTGAGACCAGTGGAGTATCTTAGATGGCTGCTCACAGGCTTTTAAGACGCCAAACGCTACGCACCAAGGTAGAAGGTAGAACATTTTCTTTATAAACGGTGTTACGTCAGTTGAGCTAGATGTTCCTGGAGACCATGGTCCCCACATCCCTCTGCCCAGTAATTTGGTCCCTTAGGAAGTTTGGATGTGTCTGTGGAGCTTCCATGACCTTTCCTTATATAAGCTGTGCTGGTTTCAAGATCAGGGAGCCTTTGATTGGGCTCTTTGTTATTGCTCCATGCTGAGCCTCACTTGGCTGGTATCTCTTCAGGAGCCCCGGGACAGGCTGCTTACCCAGCACTAAGCACCCGGACTGCTCAGCTTTTTGAGTTCTGGGGTATACTTTATTTATTTATTTATTTTATTGTTATAGTTTAAGTGAAAGTTTACAATTCAAGTTAGTCTCTCATACAGTATTTATACATACATTGTTAAGTGACCCTAATCGCTCTCCCTATACTGTGACAGCATATTCCTCCTTTCCACCCATGATTTCCCGTGTCCATTCAACCAGCTCCTGACCCTCTCTGCCTTCTCATCTCACCTCCAGACAGGAGCTGCCCATTTAGTCTAAGAAGCACACTCTTCGCGAATATCATTTTATGTCCCATAGTCTGCTCTGATCTTTGTCTGAAGAGTTGGCCTCAGGAATGGTTTTGGTTTTGGGCTAACAGAGAATCCGGGAACCGTGTCTTCCGAGGTCCCTCCAGTCTCAGTCACACCATTAAGTCTGGTCTTTTTACTAGAATTTGAGTTTTGTACCCAACTTTTCTTCTGCTCCGTCAGGAACTCTCTGTTGTATTCCCTGTCAGGGCGGTCATTGGTGGTAGCCAGGCACCGTCTAGTTCTGGTCTCAGGCTGATGGAGTCTCTGGTTTATGTGGCCCTTTCTATCTCTTGGGCTAATATTTTCCTTGTGTCTTTGGTGTTCTTCATTCTCCTTTGCTCCAGTGGGTTGGGACCGATTGACGTGTTTACGTCCATTTTTGTGGGTATTGTGTCAGTCTATCTCATTGAAGATCAGCCTAGTTTTTGCTAACCCTCTACTTTACCAACCATGGCGTCCTTTTCTAGTGATTGGTCTTTCCTGATGACATATCCAAAGTAAGCGAGTTGAAATCTTGTCTTCCTTGCTTCTAAGGAGCATTCGGGTTGTATTTCTTTTAAGACTTGATTTGTTTGTTGTTCTGGCAGTCCATGGTATAGTCACTACTCTTTGCCAACACTACAGTTAGAATGCTTCTGTCTTCCTTTTTCATTGTCCAGCTTTTGCATGCATATGAGGCAGTTGAAAAGACCATGGCTTGGGTCAAGTGTACCTTAACCATCAGAGTTACATCTTTGCTTTTTAAAACTTCAAAGAGGTCTTTTGCAGCGGATTTGCCCAGTGAGGTGAGGTAGTTATGTATTCAGAAGTTCTAACCCACTTCTCTTCTCCCCCTTCTTTTGCCTCCAGTCCATCTATTTTTAGTGATCAATAGCTGCTTGTTCACAAAGACTAGGTGGATGTGTGAGAGTTGATTTACTTGAGAGAAATCATCAGAATCGCTCTGAAAAAGTTGCCAGGTGCCACACCAAAGAGTGGAGTCACTGTGTCGTTTTAAGCGAGGCACAAGGAAAAGAACTTAATGATCATTAAAATCTCAACACGTTCTGTCCACGTCAGTGCTCATGCCCATTGCACAGTTGCATTTGGTGATGTTAAGTTTTTAGTCCATATTATTAGGCCTTTTCCACATTTCTGTGAATCCATTTAGTCCATATGTGTATCACCTTCCCCTTTTTTATGTCTTTATTTTTTTCTGATTACATAAGTAGTATGTGTTCATTCTAATAAATGTTTTCACAGAAATGCATACTATAATATATAGACAGTGAAGGTTAACACTTTGGCTTATAATCCAAAAAGCTGGATTATATGAAGAAGAATGCAGCATCAGGATTGGAGGAAGACTCATTAACAGCCTGTGGTATGCAGATGATACAGTCTTGCTTGTTGAAAGTGAAGAGGACTTGAAGCACTTACTGATGAAGATCAAAGACTACAGCCTTCAGTATGGATTACACCTTAACATAAAGAAGACAAAAATCCTCACAACTGGACCAGTAAGCAACATCTTGATAAACGGAGAAATTGTTGAAGTTGTCAAGGATTTCATTTTACTTGGATCCACAATCAACACCCATGGGAGCAGCAGTCAGAAAATCAAATGACATATTGCACTGGGCAGATCTGCTGTAAAAGACCTCTTTAAAGTGTTAAACAGCAAAGATGTCACTTTGAGGACTTAAGGCGTGCCTGACCCAAGCCATGTTATTTTCTTTTGTAATTTTTTTTTATTGTACTTTAGATGAAGGTTTACAGAACAAATACTTTCTCATTAAACAGTACACATACCATTTTATGACATTGGTTAACGACCCCACGACACGTCAGCACTCTCCCTTCTCGACCTTGGGTTCCCTATTACCAGCTTTCCTGTCCCCTCCTGCCTTCTAGTCCTTGTCTTTGGGCTGTTGTGCCCCATTAGTCTCGTTTTGTTCTATGGGCCTATCTCATCTTTGGCTGAAGGGTGAACCTTGAGAGTGACTTCGTTACTGAGCTAAAAGGGTGTCCAAGTGCCATACTCTCGGGGTTTCTCCGGTCTCTGTCAGACTAGGAAGTCTGGTCTTTTTTTGTGAGTTAGAATTTTGTTGTACATTTTTCTCCAGCTCTGCTGGGACCCTCTGTTGTGATCCCTGTCAGAGCAGTCAGCGGTGGTAGCCGGGCACCATCTAGTTGTACTGGTCTTAGTCTGGTGGAGGCTATGGTAGCTGTGGTCCATTACTGCTTTGGACTAATCTTTCCCTTGTATCTTATTTTCTTCATTCTCCCTTGCTCCCAAAGGGGTGAGACCAGTGGAGTACCTTAGATGGCTGCTCTCAGGCTTTTAAGACCCCAGATACTACTTACCAAGGTAGAATGTAGAACATTTTCTTTATAAACTGTGTTATGTCAGTTGAGCTAGATGTTCCTGGAGACTGGTCCCCACATCCCTCTACCCAGTAATTTGGTCCCTTAGGAAGTTTGGATGTGTCTGTGGAGCTTCCATGACCTTGACTTGTACAAGTTGTGCTGGCTTCCCCAGTTTTGTGTACTGTCTTACCCTTCACCAAAGTTACCACTTACCTGTTGTGTATTTAGTATCCCCCCCTACTCTTCCCAGCCCTCATGACCATCAAAGATTGTTTCTTTTTGTGTGTAAACCTTTTCTTGAGTTTTTACAGTAGTAGTCTCATACAATATTTGTCCTTTTGTGATTGACTTATTTCACTCAGCATAATGTCCTCCAGTTTCATCCATGTTATGAGATGCCAAGCCATGTTATTTTCAGTTGCCTCCTGTGCATGCGAAAGCTAGACAATGTAAAAGGAAGACTGAAGAAGAATTGATGCCTTTGAATTATGGTGTTGGCAAAGAATATTGAATATACGATGGACTTCCAGAAGAATGAACAAATCTGTCTTGGAAGAAGTACAGCCAGAATGCTCCTTAGAAAGGAGGATGGTAAGACTTCATCTCACTTACTTGGGACATGTTATCAGGAGGGACCAGTCCCTGAAGGACATCATGCTTGGTAAAGTAGAGGGTCAGCGATAAAGAGGAAGACCTTCAATGAGATAGATTGACACTGTGACTGCAACATAGCAATGATTGTGAGGATGGTGCAGGACTGGGCCGTGTTTGTGCTGTTGTGTACATAGGGTCGCTGTGAGTTAGAACTGACTGGACGACACCTAACAACAACAACAACAGAGTTTTTTCAGTGCTAGACCAACACGTGGCATTAATGTGCCTGCTATTGTCATTAAGAATGTTTTAAACAAAAATGGAATGTACTGTGCCCTTTCTCACTTACCGTAGCTTTCCACTTCGGCACCTGTAGACTCTTCAGCTGCATCGTGTCCTCCTGCACAGACACACCATCATTTATTTGGGTTCCCTGTTGGTGGACGTTCCAGACAGCAGGTTCATTTCTAGAAGTTTATCCAACAGTAACATTTGAACGAGGCACGAGGTCAGGCACCCTCTCTGAGCGGCTGTGCCTGTCTCTCCATTGTCCTGATGTTCCTTAGCCGTTTCCTAATGTCAGACAGAAGGCTGTTTTCAAACCTTGCTGTTATCTAACAGAACTGCAGCAAATCTCTAACTTTGTTTTTCTTCTTTGAGGCAGTTCTTGTTTATTCCCCAGAGTGGAGTTACCGTCTGGCCTGATGTTGGGTTCCTGTGTCTTGCTGTCAACGGTGCTAGCCTTGACACCTCACCACTGCCCTTGGTGCTGCTCTAGCAGTTTGAGAAAGGCTGATGTGTTGCTCTTAATTAAAAACTATAATTTTCAAATTGTAAACACGGTGTAACAGCATTACTGAATGCTCAGAAATTAGGGATAAGGAAGAAGTCACCCACGGTTCCTCATATTGACCTTGCTGTCATTTCCTCCCTAGTTTCCACACGTGTGGTCCTTACAGAGCTGGGGTGACAGTCTTGTAGTCTCTTCTTTTCATAAACAGAGTTGTCTAGTATTGTCATGGTGCTCCGTGGACTTCACACTCGTCCTTTGGAAATGCTGCGTAATATTAATCCCTATCCTTTTTGATTTTGGTCAGGTGTTTTGAGGTATATTTTACTTGTAGCAGAATTCACGCTTTTGACTATATGGAGTCTTGGCAAACATAGAACCCACCACAAGTAGGATTCAGAACTGCCCCCATTGTCCCAAAATTCCCTTGGGCCCCTTTGTAGTCTCATTCTTAGATTTTAAGTTGTTTCTAATCATTGCAGCTTTGATTTTATGATAAATAACAGTGCATATAGTTTTATGTTTAATGTAAACTTTTACGGTGATATAAACAAAGTACACACGTTACAAGTGTGCAGGTCCACAGTTTTTCACAAAGTGAAAACATTTGTGGAATCAGAACCCAGATAAGAAACAACATTACCAGACCCCTGAAGGCCTCCTTGTGCCCCCTTCACCTCCTACCCTACTGTATAGCTTGTTTGTAAATAATAGCTTTATTGAAATATGGAGTCCTGGTGGTGTAGTGGTTAAGAGCTTGGCTGCTAACCAAAGGTCAACAGTTTGAATCTACCAGCCACTCCTCAGAAACCCTATGGGGCGGCTCTACTCTGTCCTGTAGGGTCGCTATGAGTCGGAATCGACAGCAATGGGTTTGTTTTGGTTTATTGAAGTATAGTTCACGTACCATCCAGTTCACTCATTTCAAGTGTACAATTCAGTGGTTTTCAGTATATTCACAGAATTGCACAACCATCATAGCAATCAATTTTAGAACATTTTTATTACCACCAAAGGAAACCCTGTACCCGTTTAGCTGTCACGCACCATTCCACCTGGCCTCTGTCCTTTGGCAACCATGAATCTACTTTCTGTCCCTCTGGATTTGCCTGTTCTGGACATTTCATGTTAATAAAATCATACAGTATGTGACCTTTTTTGACTGGCTGCTTTCACTCAGCATGTTTTCAAGGTTCATCCGTGTTGCGGCATGTATCAGTGCTCCATTTCCTTTTTATGGCTGAATAATACTCCAGCGCATGGATATACCACAGTTTGTTTATCCATTCATCTGTTGATTGACACTTAGGTTGTTTCCACCATTTTGCTGTTGTGCATAATGCTGCTGTGACCATTCACGTACAGCTTTTTGTGTGGACGTACGTTTTCATTTCTCTTGGTATATACCTAGAAGTAGAATTGTTAGATCATATAATATGTTTAACTGTTTGAAAAATTACCAGACTGTTTTCCAAAGTGACTGCACTGTTTTGTGTTCCTTTCAGCAGTGTGTGAGGGTTCCCACCGTGTAGCTTTTTACAGATGTTGGATTCTTCCATTGATTGTTCTTTTACATGGAGTCATGAGGTCAAGAGTGGAGTCCCTGAGTGGCACAAACAATTAAATGTTTGAATATTAACCATAAAAGGTTGGAGGTTTGAACTCACCCAGAGGCACCTTGGAAGAAATGCCTGGCAGTCTGCTTCTGAAAGGTCACAGCCTTGAAAACTCTGTGATGCAGTTCTGTTCTGCACACGTGGGGTTGCCATGAGTCAGAATCGACTCAGTGGCAACTTTTTTTTGGTGAGATCAGAAGGCATGCAACTTTCCCGGTGAGTTTTGATCTGTGGTGTAAACTCCTTCCTGGAAAGGTGGTGCTGATCCCTCCCGTGGCCAGCATTGTCAGCCCTTCTCATTGCTGCTTCTAGGCTGGTCTGGGCTGAGAAGCTATGTCGAAGCTTTTGAAATTGTGTGTAGGACAGATGTGAAATAGGACATGGCTCTGGTTTGGAGCCTGCCGTCTGCTCCATTCTCAAGACCTTTCCTTCTGGGTTTCTGGAAGTATCCTGGTAGGGGAGATGATGGGATGGAGGCTCCACATTTCCATCCAGGGCTGGGCAGTGGACTAGGTAGCTTTAGGCCTTCGGGCTGCCCAAGACTGTGTGGTTTTTGTTAGGAGGCCATAAGGTCACCTGCTGGGTGGCTCTTGCAGCTTAGGATTGGGGATGACCTATTTCTTGTATTTTTTTTTTTTTACTGTAGTTTAAGTGAAAGTTTACAATTCAAGTTAGTCTCTCATACAAAAAATTTATACATTGTTATGTGACCCTAATTGCTCTCCCTATACTGTGATAGCACGCTTCCTCCTTTCCACCCTGGATTTCCTGTGTCCATTCAACCAGCTCCTGACCTTCTCTGCCTTCTCATCTCACATCTGGGCAGGAGCTGCCCATTTAGTCTCAAGTATCTTCTTGAGCTAAGAAGCACGCTCTTCACCAGTATTGTGTCCCATAGTCCAGTTCAATCTTTGTCTGAAGAGTTGGCCTTGGAAATTGTTTTAGTTCTGGGTTGACAGTGTGGGGGCCATGCTTTCCAGGGTTCCTCCAGCCTCAGTCAAACCATTAAGTCTGGTCTTTTTACTAGAATTTGAGTTCTGCACTCCACCTTTCTTCTGCTCAATCAGGAACTCTCTGTTGTCTTCCCTGTGAGGGTGGTCATCAGCGGTAGCCGGGCACCATCCACTTCTTCTGGTCTCAGGTTGATGAAGTCTCTGGTCTTTGTGGCCCTTTCTGTCTCTTGGGCTACTACTTTTCCTTGTGTCTTTGGTGTTCGTCATTCTCCTTTGCTCCAGGTGGTTGGGACCAATTAATGCGTCTTAGATGGCCGCTTGCTGGCTCTTAAGACCCCAGATGCCACTCACCAAAGCAGGATGCAGAACATTTTCTTAATAAGCTTTGTTATGCCAGTTGACCTAGATGGCCCCTGAAAGTATGGTCCTCAGACCCCTACCCCTGCTACTCTGTCCTCAAAGTGTTTGACTCTATTCAGGAAACTTCTTAGCTTTGTTTTAGTCCAGTTGTGCTGACTTCCCTGTATTGTGTGTTGTCCTTTCCTTCACCTAAGGTAATTCTTGTCTACTATCTAATTAGTGAATAACCCTCACCCTCCCTGCCCACCCTCATAACCATCAAAGAATGTTTTCTTCTGTGTTTAAACCCTTTGTTGATTTCTTATAATAGTGGTCTTATACAGTATTTGTCCTTCTGTGGCTGACTAAGTTCACTCGGCATAATGCCTTCCAGATTCCTTCATGTTATGATGTTTCACAGATTCACCGTTGTTCTTTATTGTTGCATAGTATTCCATTGTGTGACTGTACTGTAATTTGTTTATCCATTAGTCCGTTGATGGGCACCTAGGTTATTTCCATCTTTTTGCTGTCATGAACACTGCTGCAAAGAACATGGGTGTGCATGTATCTGTTTGTGTGACAGCTCTTCTCTAGGATATATCCAAGGACCGGGATTGCTGATCGTATGGTATTGCTATGCTAGCTTTTTAAGGAAGCACCAAATTGATTTCCAAAGCGGTTGTACCATTTTACATTCCCACCAACAGTGTATCAGTGTTCCAGTCTCTCCACAACCAGAGATGACCTGTCTCTTGCAGGTGTCCTGCCTGCACACCCTGGGCTATCCCCCAGCCCAAGGGCAGGGTCTCCATGTGACCAGTGTCTCCTGGAACACCACCGGCTCCGTGGTGGCTTGTGCCTATGGCCGGTGAGTGACAGCATTGTGGGTGGGGCAATGGGAGACCCTAAGACCAGGCACCCTTGTCTGGGCCTCTGTCTCCTCGTCTGCAAAGGGAAGGGCTGGTCCAGAGACTTGACCATTCTGGGAGTGTCTCAAGGCTGCCTGGGCAAGGTTGGCAGTGGGCAGGAGGGTGCTGGGAGCCAGGACTCCAGTGCCCACCTGCCAGCACTGGGCACCCCACCTGGGCCCTGCCTCGCCTTCTCTGTGAGCATCTCTTGCCTGTTTCTTGATGCACCGGGCAGGGTTCCCCTACCCCACCCACTGCTGTGGAGGTGGGGAGACCCTGTCCTTAGTTCCTGGGGACCCTTTTCCAGAGAAAGCCATGTCCATGGGGTGCCATGGCAGAGCCTGTGCACTTTGATGCCCAAAGTGAGGACACAGGTTACTGTTTAGGTCAGTGGGCAGCAAGGTATTAGGAGCAAGGTGGGATGGGGGTTGTGATGAAGTGTGGGCCTGTGGTAGAGCCAGCTGAGGTGTGTCCCTGTGCAGACTGGACGATGGGGACTGGAGCACGCTGAAGTCCTTCGTGTGTACCTGGAACCTGGACCGCCGAGGCCTGAACCCCAGGCAGCCGGCGGCAGTGGTTGAGGTGCCCAGCGCTGTCATGTGTCTGGCCTTCCACCCCTCACAGCCGGCCCACATCGCAGGTGAGCTGCTCAGGTGTCTCTGCTCTACCGGGACCACTGTGGGGGCAGGTCTCCTGGGAGGTGGAGATGAACCAGGCCATCCCTGACCTGATGTGCTCAGTCTGGCAGCCCAGGTGAAGGTGCTGTACTTGGTACGTGCCTGACTGGGCTGGGGAGCTTGGAGGAGAGGAGGCAGAGTCCTCAGCTGAGGCTCAAAGGGAGTGTGGATGAGAGACGGTGCTGAGGGGCCACCCTGGCAGGGAGCATCCTGGTTAGGACAGCAAGTAGGAGGAAGCCGGGGCCCTTGGGAGCTGTGGGTGGGTGTGGTGTGAGCTTGGTACATTGGGGAGGGGCAGGGGTGCTGCAGGGGTTGGTAGAGTACAGTGCAGGGGGGATGGCCTGGCAGCAGGATGGAGGGTTGCTGGGCCGTGGGAAAGGCTTCCTGGGGTAAAGCAAAGTGGGATTGGGCCTGAGGCCTGGGGACCAGGACTTTTCTTCCTGGGGGACAGCTTTTGGGGAATTGGCTTCAGGTCCTGCCTCAGGATGGGGGGAGGCGGCAGGTGCTTGGCGGGGAAGCCTAGTTCTGGGGTGTGTGAGCGTCCCAGGCCTGCTTGCTTGGTCTCGGCAGGTGGGCTGTACAGTGGCGAGGTGCTGGTGTGGGACATGAGCCGCCCTGAGGACTCGCTGCTCTGGCGCACGGGCCTGACAGATGACACACACACGGACCCCGTGTACCAGGTCAGAGTGGCAGGCCTGCAGGGCCAGGGCGGGATCTTCCCACATTCTTACTGACCTGCCCTTGCTGTCATGGACCTCATAGTTGAAGCAGAGCGGGAGTGAAGGCACCTGTGTGGCAGAGCCAGCCACTGTCCTAGTGAAGGGGGTCACTGGGGAGCTGCCTTCGGTGTTCTTGAAACCCCCAAGGCTTGAGTCATTACCACCACCACCCCCACAGTGGCAGGAGCCATCCCCATGACCTTGTGGCTGTTCCAGCCCCTACACGGGAGCTGCAGAGAGTAGCTCCCGTTGTCCTTGCTTTCGGCTAGCACTGGGATTCTGGACTAGAGGAGGGACCTTGAACCCCATGTTGGCCCCCTGGAGGGTGGGGCTGGCTCTCCCTGGCCTCCCCTGAAAGAGAAGGGGAGGGCGGGGTGGGGCCTGGGATGCACACAAGGAAGACATCTGGTCCTGCTGGGAGGTGTGGGGCAGGTGGGGGCTGTGCATCCCCTTTCTAGATCTTGCCCTGCCACCGCGTTGTCCCAGGTGGTTTGGCTGCCTGTGTCTGGACACAGCCACCGCTTCCAGCTGCTGAGCGTAGCCACTGACGGGAGGGTGCTGCTCTGGCAGGGAGTTGGCACGGGCCTGCTGCAGCTCACCGAGGGCTTTGCGCTGGTCGCGCAGCAGCTCCCACGGAACACCAAGCTGAAGAAGGTATGTGGCGCCCAAGGCTGCTGCTGCCCACGGAATAGATCCTGAAAGCAGCCGCTGGGCCTGTGGAACTTGGGGCCCAGATGCGTCTGCTTCCTGAGCACGTGAGCCTGGGGGTGGGAAGGCAAGGGCACAGGTCTCATGTTATCAGGGAAGCTGGCAGTTAACAGCTGACTGTTACTTGCTGTGTGACCTCCTTGGGGCCGCAGCCCCGCCTTGTACACTGGCATTGGTGGGCATGATGCTTTCAGTTTCCTGGCTCTGACCTTGCTGCTGTTTCTCCACAGCCTACCCGGGGTGAGACCGAGGTGGGTGTCACAGCCGTGGCTTTCAACAGCTTTGACCCCAGCCTTTTTGTTCTGGGCACGGAAGGCGGCTTCCCACTCAAGTGTTCCCTGGCAGCAGAGGAAGCAGCCCTCACACGGGTGCCCAGCTCTGTGCCCCTGCGGGCACCGACACAATTTACCTTCTCTCCCCACGGCGGTCCCATCTACTCTGTGAGCTGTTCCCCCTTCCACAGGTAAGGATGGCCCAGGCCTGGGGCTCCTCTTCCTCCATCAGTCCAAGGGCCACAGGGAGGGGGAATCCCCAAACACTGACCTCTAGTCCACCAGGACCTGTCATTCTCTAAATCTCCAAGCCCCCATCAAGCCCCGGTACTCAGAGCTTTGGTGGTATGGCCCTGGGGAATCTTCCTTTACTGGGGACGGAAAGGACACATCCCAGGTTTGGGGGCCAGGGCAGTTTTGCAAGGCCCAGCAGCCCAGGAGGAGTCCGGGGGCAGGTCCCAGTAGCCCCACTGGACGCCGGGCACTGATTCTTTCGCTCTCTGCCCTGCATGCCATCCAGGAACCTCTTCCTGAGCGCGGGCACCGACGGCCACGTCCACCTGTACTCCATGCTGCAGGCCCAGCCCCTGACTTCACTGCAGCTGTCTCACAAGTATCTGTTTGCTGTCCGCTGGTCCCCAGTGCGCCCCTTGGTTTTTGCAGCTGCTTCTGGGGAAGGTAGGAAATGGGACACCAGGTCCAGACCCATTTAAGTGGAATTCTGGTTGGGAAGGAACTTCACGGGGTGCCTTCCCTCCAGAAACTCGACTGTAAAAAACTAGTGGCCACTAGTGAGGAGGACCGAACTTGGGGTATTAGCTTTATTTGAACGGTGGACTCTGAATTTTCCTTAGCAAGTGTGTAAGTTGTTTTCAGAGGCCACTGCTCTGAACCTTTCTCATCTATGACTTTCTCTCCCTAAAGGCGATGTGCAGTTGTTTGATCTCCAGAAAAGCTCCCAGAAACCCACTGTTTCTATCAAGCAAACCCAGGATGAAAGCCCTGTGTACTGTCTGGAATTTAACAGCCAACAGACTCAGCTTTTGGCTGCTGGGGATGCCAAGGGCGTCGTCAAGATTTGGCAGCTGAGCACAGAGTTCACAGAACAAAGGCCCCGAGAAACAGAGGACTTGGACCATCTGGCAGTGGAGGTGGCCACCTGAAGTGCCCCTGTCCTTCCACCTATCCTCAGGGAGGACATCAAGGGGAATAGCCAGGATGTGACTGATGGGTCCCAGGAGGCTGTGGTCAGGTGGGGTGTGTCCCCAAATCCAGAGGCAAGTGATGTGAGGCTGTATCTGTGTTGAGCCAAATAAATGAAGAAAAGTAAAGCCTTTAGGGGGAGAGTCATTTATTTGGGGGTAGAGGCAGAAGAAGAAGGGAGCTATCCAGCTGCTTAGATTTTTCTGAGTGGAATGAGGGCAGCTGGCTTCAAGACGTGAATCTGGGTCCCCACAGCAACAGGGCAATTGTGATTGGACCAGGAGCGTTTTATTGAAGCACCGTTTTCTACTAAGTCTTACCCCAAGCTAAGCAGGTTCAAGGTTACATTGGAAGTAACACTGTCTGGAATATTTAAGGGCACAAAACTGAACTGACATGCAGGCAGGCGACGACAAGCAGCGTGAAGCCAGGCTAGGAGCTGAGGCTCAATTCACAAAGAGTGAGCGGGTGAACTCAATGTAGTCGAAGGCTGTGGGGAGCTCGCGGCCCTTGCCATCCACGTAGGGCTTCATGTGGGAGACGCAGTAGTCCGCTTGTTCCCGAGTCAGGTTCTGAGGGAAAAGATGGCACCTTCAGCCCAGCTACCCCTGCACTATGATAGGGATGGGGGGAGCCTGACTTCAATTCCCCTAGGGTTCAGGGAAGGTCCTGGAGTAGCATAGTTTGTGCCTGACTGCTAACCTAAAGGTTGGTGGTTTGGACCCACCCAGCAGTACCATGGAAAAAAAAGCTTGCTGATCTGTTTCCATTAAGATCACAGCCAAGAAAACCGTGTGTCTACACAATGAGATGTGAAGCTCTCAAAGTCTCCTGTTAGTTTCCATGAGCCAGAATTGACAGCGACCCTGTGTGTGTGTCAGAGTAGAAATGTGCTCCACAGGGTTTTCAAGGCTGGGACCTTTCAGAAGCACACTGCCAGGCCTGTCGTCTGACGCAGTTCTGAGTGGGTTTGAAGCACCAACCTTTCAGCTCGTAGTCGAGTGCTTAACCCATTCACATCACCCAGGGGACTCCTAAGGAGCAGTTCTACTCTGCAACATACGGGGTTGCCATTAGCTGGAACTGACTAGTCAACAACACATTTTGGGAAGAACCATGTGCTCGGCATTCATACCCCAACTGGGTGTAAAGACCACATCTACTAGCAGTTACGGTTCCTCAGCCAACTATCAAGTTTCATTTATAAATGAGAATAAAACTCACCCCAGGGTGGTTTGAGATAGATGGAGTGAGCGATACGTTTTAAGCACTCAGTCTAGGGTACGGCTTAAAATGGGGTTGTTACTCTAGCACTGCTACTGATTCACAGGCAACCTTCGGCTTTAGTTTTCAAAGGGAAGCCTCCCAACAGAAAAGGGAAGGTCTTGAAAAAACCCTTATTCTAAACCACTTCCCAAGCCCCAGAGCCACCTACCTGGTATAACTCCTCCTTGGTCACATACGGCTTTCCCTCTGAGCTGAGGGCACGGAAGGCGCTCTCGATTTCCTCGCTGGACTTGACATTCTCAGTTTCCCGGCTGATCATGAAAGCCATGTATTCTTGCAGGGAAACATGGCCATCCCTGGGAGAGGGGCAAACAAGTGGAGTGAGCAGGGAGGACAGAGGAGGAGCCACGGGCAGAGGATTCTTCCAGCACCTTCCCTGCAGCACACCTGTTTGGATCCACGGTGTCTAGGATTGCTTCAAACTCAGGATCGGGTTCCCCTTCCTCCACCATGGGCAGGTCATAGCCCAGGGAGCGCAGGCAGGATTTGAACTCCTGATGGTTCAGCCTACCAGACTTGTCCTTGTCAAAGTGTCTGCAGCACAAACCAAAGGCAGCTCAGCACCCGGGCCTGCTGCTGAGCCCACCCCACCCTGCCCCCGGGAGGACCTGGGCTACTCACTTAAACATCATGCTGAACTCCTTGAGGGCCTCCTCGGTCACACCTGTTGTGTTCCTGGAAGGAAAAGCTGAATTAGGGACCAGGTGCTCACCCTGCACAGCAATGACACATTCGTTTCTCATGCGCCAGGTCTTCATTGACTGCTGGCCTCTGGGATGACCTCGACAGGTGGCTGAGCCCTTGCTGCCCGCCCAGGTACCTGGCCTGGATCTGCTGCTCCAGGTTGTGCTGCATGCGCATGCCCAGCTGGTCCAGCTGGTCCCACTGCTGGGCCAGGCCCACGGTGCTGTGCTCCGTGTACTTGTTGTCCAGGATAAGTGCTTCCTCCATGGCGGCCCCCAGGTCCTCAATCTTCTTGAGCTGACTCCTCATGGCTCGAATCTCCTGGTGTTTGCGCTGCAGGGGTGAGAGCAGAGCTGCGTGGGACAGGGACTCTTGCCTTAGCCACCAGGCCTAAGTGCCTGCTCAACTCACTCCTCAGTGTCCTCACACCCAGCCTGAGACCTGCACGGCCAGACGTGTGGCTGCTGACTACAGGGGACAAGGCAGGTGGGAGTGAAGGTAAATCCAGAACAGCCTCACACCACAGGGATACTTTCAACGTATTGAGTCACAACCCAGAGGGTAGACTTGCCAGGGAGACAGCACATACTGAAGCCAAAAGGAGCCTCTTCACAAGTAAGACAAATGTTAAAGGCTTTCTTTAAAATGATGGGATCCCAGGCTGCTTTAAGCTGAGGAAAAAGAGGTAACTGACCAGCCATCTCATTCCTCTGACAGGCGGGCCTGCCTGGGGAGGGAGTTGGGGGGTTGTGTGAAGGGTCTTGCTGGGCCACAAGCCCGATGGCACTCACTTTGGTAGCTTCAAGCTGGGATTCGAGGGTCCCTGACTCTTCCACCATGCAGGACCTAAACACAGAAGCACAGTGAGAACATGGCCTGATCACAACAGATCAAGACCTCCAATAACTACCTCTCAGATACACAATGCCTGGCAATCTCCAGTCCCTTTTATTAAGGAACATAAACCTTGGGTGCTGTTGGCTATCTTTTCCTAACTGGCCTGTGAGCCAAAGAGAGCAGGGAACATTTCCTCATTTCAGGCAGGAAGCTGCTGTCAGATGTGGCAAGCCACCTGCCCAAGGGCAACTGGTGAGCCAGGGTTGAGCTCCACCCAGCCTGTTCCCTGCTACCAGCAGGACCCAGTTTCTGATGTGGCTCCTCGGGTCCAGCCAGGGTGACGTGTCTGGCCCAAGCTAGGCCCTCAAAGGGTGATCCAGAAATTAAGTTCCCCCATGGGAACAGAGAGCTGTAGGCTTGATAGCATACCCTCTGTGCACCATGGGGGAGAGTAAGGCACTCCGTCTAACCGTGACACCCAAAACGCAGAGGCCTTAGGCAGGAGAGGCTGACAACCTGACAGCCACCCCTGAAACCCCTGGAGTCTCCTTGCAGGTCCCTGAGGAGGGGAGCCACATTCTAGGGTGAATGACAGCAATGGCAGGGGGCAGTGCAATCAGATGACCCCTCAGGGTGCTAAGAGATCATGACCAGATTTGGGTTTTGAAAGTGGTACTTAATCAGCTCTGCCCAAAGAGGAGATGGCTTTGGCTAAGCCCTGGGATTCATGTTCCATAATCGAGAGACAACCAGGGCCAGGGATCCTGTCCAGGGCCAAGTTCTAGAGAGCAGGTAGGCTCTGGGGAGCCGCCATCTTCCCAACATAACAGTGCGAGGCCACAAGTGAACAAAAGGCTACCAGTGAACAGCGACACAAACAAGTTGGGGTTATCCTGCAAGGACAAGTTCACATTGTACTCATGTCCTTGGAATTTTAGCCCAGCCTCCCCTGTACCCACCTTTCCCCCAGTTCTACCCTTTTAAAGCCCAGTGAGCCAGGGTTAGCTCTGAAATTTCCCCAAGTTCAAAGTGCTCTAGCAAGGCAAGGCACCGGGCTTCCTCCTACCCCAACAGATCAGACTCACAGTCACGCCATGTCCCCAAGGGAAAAGCACACCCCCAGAATCTGGGGGCAGGAAGCTGGGTGCCGGTGCAGTGGGAGGAGGACAGACCCCTCCTTCCCAAGCGGCTGAGGGCGGTGGGTTAGTCAGAAAGCGGAGCCGCCTGGGGAAGTCAAGAGTGCATTGGTAAAACCACAGTGAGATAAGAAGAGAAATAAGAGGAGAAAAACCTTCCAGACAGATCATCCCCAACTTCATACTGATAGACACGAATGACCCGACGATACGCTATGCTAGTCAAAGAAAAGAAACCAAATGAATACACCAAAGGGGAGGGGGCAAGAGCACACTGAGACAGACACATGCCACAAGGTCCAAGCTGGCAGTGCACAGGAGACGGCTACCCTGCACCCAGGCAGTATGTGGTGGGAGACCCAAGGGCTGGCCTGGGAGGGCAGGCAGCATTGGGCAGCTCACGCTGGGGCTGGGCAAGATGGGACAGGGCTTGGAAGGAGCCACGGGAAATTGGGAGCATGGCATCTCATGGAGATAGACCAAGACCAGAAGACACAGCCATGGGGCTGAGGAGGAGAGCCGAGGGCCAGGGTGTCTTGGGGCCTCCGACTTTCTTAGAAATCACAGTCTCCGTTCCCTACTGCTCTGCCTTTAGTGTGTAGAGTCTGGTTGGTTTGGACATAATTTTCCCATCACCACCATTAAATGCTTGATTTACTCTCTGCAAACCCGTAGAGATGCTAGCCGAAGCCACTGTAGTCCCACCACCACTGGCCTCTTGAATCACAGAGAGGGGTCTTACAGTGGGCTTCAGCGAGAATGCAAAGGTGGCCGACCAGGACTTAGGAGGGACAGCCCTGCTCCGCTCTGCTGGCCGGCTCCTCCAAGCCCTGTCTCCGTCACGTGCATTCCATCTTCTGTTGGGGCCAACAGCACTTATTCTCTCGCCCCCAGGAAAGCCAGGAGAGAGCCTGTGTGGGGCGCTGGGGCTGGGGTCAACATACAGCTCTTTCTGTCAGCTGTGGACTGACTGCACCCAGCCTGAGCCCCTAAACCCTGCTGTCTAGTTTCATGCCCACTGATCACGTAGTGCTAAATATGATCCCTCTGGACATGCTAGGGAAGTAGAGGCAAAAATGCCAATATAATCATAATGGCTGAAGAAGCTTAAGGACTCCCAGAGGCTTCGGACCCCACCTCTGCCCCCTTGCATGATCACACACCCTACCCAACGAGAAGCCTTGGAATCTGAGCAGAAAAGCAGGAGTGGCTCCCCTCCCCAGACTGCAGGCTCTGTCAGGGACAGTGGGCTGTGGGGCAAGACACACACTCTTTGTAGGGTGACAGGGATGGAGAGGGCATGGGGCGGGGCTGGGACTGCACAGGCCGAGGGAAGTGCAGCCGGCCCTGGGTAGGAAGGCCCATCCTGGAATTCTCTGCAAGCCAGGCCACAGGGGGGACGGAGGGACAAGCACACAAGACACCACCACACCATGAGCCCAGAAAATAAAAAGACGATATTAACCCATCGAGGAGATACGTTCTGTGGCGATGACATCCAAGCAGCCGTAAGATGAGGGTGGTGTCCAGGGAAGCAGCAATCAGGAGGTGGGGGATAAGAAGACACAAGGCAAAACCAAGAACATCAGTACCCATATACTGCATTCAACCCTTGTACGATCTGTCACTGGGTTGCTCTGGGAGCTCACCGTGGGCCAAGCACAGTCCCACACAGCCCAGGATATCTAGCTACATAACCTTTGGGGACATGCATCTTTCAAGAACGCTGCTTTGACTCTACCCACCCCTTCCAGCTGCACAGCCAGACCAGACTGTGCTCCTAACCCTTCTTTATTCCAAGCATGCCTTCTGGTTAAGACACTACATCCTGGAGCTTGCGGTGACACCGTGTCCCCCTCTCATCAAGTCTGGAGCTGGATGCCTGGGGGCTCAGCCCCAGGGACCAGAGCGCTCCCCAGGCCTGAGCACAGTAGGGACCTGTTGCCTGCCCCCCAAGGCCTCTGCAGGGGCTGGGCACCTGGTCTCTTGGATCCACTGGTGGAAGGCGTTGGCATGCTGGGCAAACTCCTGGCGCAGCTTGTCATTCTCCTCTTGCCGGCGCTGCTCCTTCTGCAGCTCCAGCTCCCTTTCCTAACGACAAAAGGGAGGCAAATGCTGCATACTCCTTTGCAGATGGGCTTGGGATGGAGATGGTTTTACCCTTAAGAACTGACTGGCTGGCTTTAAAATTTGAGAGGGGCAGGAACTAAATTTTTTGAAGTTGAACAAGAATCATTTGTGGGTTAACCTCAACCCAAAGATGATATGGGAAGGAGTCTGGGAGACATTAACTGAGCTCAGAAGATTTAACAGCTCTCTTTGCTCACAACCCCAGGGAAGACATGGAGGGGAAGTGACAGATCACAGTCAAGCAGTGAGTTGCTATGAATGGTAACTGACATGAATGGTAACTTCTGATACACAAGACCAAGGTTTTTTCCTTCCCCTCCACTTACTCCTAAGTCTTGTCATCCTTCAGCAAGAAGGGGCTTCTCAGACAAGGGGCCCCAGGCTGACAGCTCTGAGCAGGAGTGGAGTACAGAATGGATGGGGAGCAGGGAAGAAGGTGCACCTTGATGATTTTCTGCAGGTTCCTCCAGGTCTCCTCCAAGGCCTCCATGGTAAACCAGGTGTAGGGGTTGGAGGCCACGCGGAAGCTCTTGATCTGGCGGTCCAGCTCAGCCAGCTGGTTGAAGTCGGCTTGGGCTGAGCTGAGGGAGGAGCGGAAGGCGTCATGGGCCTCACGCAAGGCTTTGATTTCTTCCAGGGAGTTGCAGCGCACTGGGTCTGTTAAATCTTCCTCTGCATTTTCAAACCAGCTGTTGAAGGCAGAAGCCTTTTTGGCAAAGGTCAGGAAGAGGTCCTCCACCTGAAAGTAGAGGAGACACTGATTTAAGAGAGCTGCTAGGGTTGGACTTACCTTCCTTGGGCAGGAAGGCGGGTGGTGGGCGTGCTGAAAGGCAAAGGGTAGCTCAGAGGGCATCAGAGGTGAGTATGGTGCGCTAGTTGCTGGGCTCTGTTCCTTTTTCCCACTCCCACTTCTGTACATCCTCACCAACCTTTCTTCCCTTTCTACCTTTTGCCCCCTGGTACATGCAAATTGTCTGTCCTGTGTGCTTCTGAATAGCAACTTCATGAAAGCAAAGGTCCCATTTGCCCTGTTCAGACCGTTTTGCTGAGTTGCTTCTTAACAGAATGGTGGCAGATCACAGCAAACAGAAGCTGGGATTGCCTTCCCTGTGCTTTGGGCCAGCTGAGCTTTCCTGGTCCCATCCTCACCTTGCGGAAATGACTCTGAGCCTCCAGCAGTTTCTTCTTCCGTGTGGCTGAGTTGGCCAGAAGCTGGCTCCACCTTTTCATGAGGGAGGCATGCCGGGCCTCGATGGCCTTTGACTGAATGTGCTTGGCGGCCAGCAGCTGATCTTTGAGGGCAGTGATGTTGGCAATACCTTCTTGCTGGAAGGCCTGCAGGCCAGCATCAAACGTTTCCTGGAGCAAGGAGGGATAAGCCAGTTTGCAGTGATTGCAATGAAACTAGAACTTACTCCTCCTAGGTGCACGGCTCAGAATGGCACCATCTGTCCACTTACAGTCCCCACCTTTTCCTGACACCTGCCCACTTTTCTGCACCACCTGCATCACCCCTGCAGATGACTGCAGCAGGCTCCTTCTGGTCTCCTGCTCTCGGCCTTGCGTCTTCCGCCCCAGCATCGCAGGCTCTAGGCAGGATGGGCGCCCTAACCACACAGGCTCTCTACTCCTCCAGGCATTTGAACACCCTGCAGGCCACATGCCCAGCCTCTTCTGACCAGTTCCAGCTTATCCTTCATGGTTTAGCTTAGATGTCATCTCCTCTGGGAAGACTTTCCTGATCAGCCCTCTCCTGCTGACGAATGAGCCAGACGCCTCCTCCGAGTGAGGTCCACAGAGCTTTCTGCCTTGCTCATCCCTGTGAGCGCCCACCACAGTGTAGCATAAAGGCCTGGCTACTTGCTTCCCCAGTTAGTCTGGAAGCTCCCTGAGGATCAGGACTGTGTCTTATTCACACTATCTCTAGTGCCTTGCATAAAATAGTCAAATATCTCAATGAAAGATGCTGACCATCATTTGTCTAGCAGGAAATACTATTTGAATACATTTCAATCAATAAACAGATTGGCCACAACTCACTTGTTTGGTAAGAAGAGTCTGGACAGAAGACAGATCTCGGCCATAGTCATCTGTCTTCAAGCTGTTCTCCTTTTCGCCTAGAAAACCAAGCACGAAAAATACACCATCCCTTCTCAGTATAGTGAGATTAAAACAAACAAAAAAGCTGGGGTAAACTATGATTTTGTTTACATTTAAACCCCAGTGTCACTAACAGCAGTCTCTGATCTCACACTCGCTGGCCCCTCCCCGCATCCAGGCCTTGTTCTGCACCCGTGCCATGAAAAGGCTGGAAAGTACTGTCCCGGAAGCCTTCTAGGCTGTCCTAAATGTGGTTCAGTCGCTACTTATGTAAAAGCAACCACTAAGGACAAGTGGGTCCTGGTATCAGGATCTAGTTCTTCCTCACCAAGGAGCTGGATTATAGCCTTGACTCGTGTAGCTAATGGGGCAGTTCTGAGTCTGGTCCCCTTTGGTGTGCCCGTTTTGTTTGTGTAGTGATGTCTGCTACTTTCAGTATTTTGTCAGCCCTAGTGTTGGCCCTGTGCCAAGCACTGCTGTGGCCCTGGCTCTCTGGCCTCAGGACACTGCCTTCTAGCTGGTGGCCAGTGGTCTGCCCTGGTTGGTAGCAGGGTTCTCAAATAATGCCTACAACTCGTCAGTTTCTTCTCTGCGGAAGAAAACCAACTGCATGGGAAACTGACAAATTTTGGCTCTGGGAACAATATTCCTGGCCTGGAGGAACAAGAAACGTCAGGCCTTGCTGAAACAGTGCTTACCAATCCAGGACTCCACCACGTCAGCCTTCCAATTGAACTGAAGGAAGGCAGAGTTCTCATCAAGTTTTGCCTTCCTTTGGGCTGCAGCTTTCTCCAGGTCAGATACTTTCCCATTTAAGCCCTTCATCTTTGAAGAGATGTTCTCCTCGTGGTGATTGTTCTAGGCCATGAAGAGAAGCACAAGCACTGGTCAGCCTTACCTCCTGCTACAGTGGCTCCATCTCTGCTTTGCCCTCCCTGGGAAAGCTGTCACTTTCTCTAAGACGGGCCGTTTGCTCCCCTGTCCACTGCCAGGGGGAGAATAATAGGCAAAACTTCTTTAAGAGCAACAAAGAGTAAAAGCCTTAAAAAGACGAGCACCTTCTGTACTGGCGATTCTACTTCTAGGAATCTATACTAAAGAAATACTGAGGAATGTGCTCAAATGTTAAGTTATAATGACGTAATCATTAGTATTATTTTTGACAGCAGCAGCAAACTGGAAAACATAATCAGTTAAATAAAAATCTGTACATCCAAACTGGCTACTATACATATGAAATAAAAACAATGGTTCAAAAAAATGTTTTGACAGTGTGGATATCGAAAACTGTTGAGCCTCAAACACTGATTCAGTCTTGGTGAAGTCTATTTAAAAACACTGACCGTAAGTTACAATAATTTAAAGAAAAATTTGGAGAGGGAACAAAGAATGCTGAGCCGTGTGTTACTGAGAAGAAAATACTAGGCTCTTTGCCAGCAGGTTGAAGAATATTCACAAACCAGTTATCTCCTAGGTTTAAACAGAGAACACTACGCAGGTGTGTGGGGGGTGGTGGGTTGGAGGGGGGTCATATCTATGGCTACATTTAGATCTGTACATAACGTGCACCTGAAATTAGTTTCTTGTTAGTTTATTTACGATAAGGACAAGGATAAAAACCTCTCCAGTGAACATTTTTTAAAACTACATTGCTACCTCCTATGGAGCAAAAACCTAACGTCGTACGTACACTTACTGAGTACATATTCTGTGATGAGAAATTTCATTACTCATTATGTTTGTTATAGGAAATTATACTTGTTAAAATGTTTGTCTTGCAGCATGAAGTTTATGCTGGTGATTAATTCGTGAGTGCTGGCTGAACTACACTTAGTGCTGAACTTCAATCTGTAAGCAAGCTGACTACACCTGCGGGTAGGAAGACCCTTTATTTGTTGCTTTCTCCCTAAAGGGCTGTTTGAATGAAGTAAACCTTGTGATTCTAACAGATACAGTGTCCTGTATAGCGACCAGATCTTTGATAATTTTATAGAGCAGTATAATTCTATAAACATGCATCTATTTTAATTAGTGGGTAGCTCTATAAATGTGGACAGAAGAAGTCTGGAAGGTTTGACACCAAGATCTTAAGGTAGTTATCTCTGGGTGGTGGGTTTCTGGGTGATTGTTATTTTGTTTTGCTTATTTATATTTTTTACTACCTCAATAATGAGCCTGTATTACTTGAGAAATAAATTAGGGGCAACCATTTGAGAGTGCCAGTGTCACAGAAGGGCCAGCAGCAATGATAATAGGGATGCTTCTCTGTTAGCTTAATTAAAGCAGAAAAAAATAAGCAATGCAGAGGAACTTTACTAACTGGCTTCAAAAAGAAGGAAATAACCCACTTACATAATCTGTCTCTTCTTTATGAAGCACAGAAATGGAACTGTTACTGGTCCCGTGCAAACCTTTGTTTGGCAAATATCCCAGGAGAGAACTTCGTGGGGCACTGTGGTACCAGCATGCTGGTGCCCCGGAGTGGGAAGTGAGGGTTTACCAGGGAGCCAGGCTCACCTTCTTAATGAGGTCTTGTCCGTTAGTGCAGACATCATTCACGCGATCCTTATGGACAGTGAAGTCCGTCTCAAAAGCTTCATGTTTCTTCAGCAGGCCCTGGAATGGAAGCCACAAGGCCAGCTGCTCAGAGTCGATGATATGCCAGTGTGCCAGAGGGAGCACAGTTGGTGTGGTACCTGCCCTCACACACATTACAGGTATACAAATACATGTGTAATTATAAAGGTAGTAAAAACAGGAGGTAGAGAGAATAACCGGTGGTGGGGTGGGGGTTGAGAAGCTACAGTCAGGAAGGCCTTTCTGAAGGGGTTAACGTTTAAGCTCTCGTTAGTCAATCTGTATAGTGTCCTCTTTATCTCTAGAAGACCACGAGAATGAACACAAAGCAAGCTAAACATAATCTCCCAAGAAAACAATGACACTTATTTTTAAGACTTAATTTGAACACATCTCATGGTCTTTTCTTTTCCTGAGTACCATTAAATCACTGGAGACAATACTCTTTTTGCTTGCTTCCAAGGAGCTCATCTACATGTATATATACACATATAAGATGGGAACTCATTTACTTCATCTGAACTCCGCCTGAATCATCCTGAACTAGTTGGAGATGATTCCCATTGTGAGGAGTGTGGCTCAGGGGTGATCCCCATTCTTGGAAATGCAAACTCTGCACCCATACCTGGTGGCAAAAACTTAGAAACATTTGGTCCGGTTAACTGAAAAATATGACCAGGATGTTTTGCAGCTTCGCCCATCAAGAGGCGAGTCACTCCACCTCATGACTCTGGGCTGCCTTGTAACTTGCTTTGCCCAATAGAACACAGCGAGGATGTTGTGTGATGACCACGACTTCAGGGACCGCTTAGCTTCTGCCTTTGCCTCTTTGAGTGCTGCCTTGAGAGGGCCACGTAAGGAAGCTGGTCTGGCCTGCTGGAGGATGAGAGGCCATGGGAACACTGAGACATCCCAGCTGACAGCCAGGACCAGCTGGGTGAGGTCATTTCAGGTCTTCGAGTTGAGCCATGCCTCCACCTGAGCACAGCTGCATGAGGGACCCAAGTGCAAACGGCAGGGGAATACACGTCATTTCACAGAATCATGGGAAACAGTACACTGCTGTGATTTTTAACTGCTAATGTAGGTGGATTGTTTCACAGCATTAGTTAGCCGATATATTTAGGGAGTACTACTATGTGTGGTAATGATACTACTTGAATGACAATAGGACTCCGTGAACTGGGGCTGACAAAGTCATGCCAATTTTGTCTAGAGAAGCAACCTCCCTCGCATGGGATCTTGAGGGTGAGATCAACCGATGAGGCCTTGACTGCTGGTTCTGTGTGCACACGCCTCTACTGTTAAGACCAAGGCCACTGAACAAACAAGTAGGAAAAGAGTGAACAGCAGGCAGCTGCTAAGGGGGAAGCAGGTGGCATCTTTAGTTCTCTGACCTGGATAGCAGCAAGAGTGTCCCCGTAATCTTCACTGGCCACCAGGGTCATTTTCTCATTGATCCAGGCTTCTTCCTCTTCCACATTGGCTACAAACTGCTGATATTCCAAGGACTCGTCTAGCCGCTGACCCCTAGTACAGGAGATAGGAAAAAGTCAGCCATGGTCACCTCCAACTTTGATTCTGACAGTTAACATGCTTAAAAATACTCATGAAGATGGAGGTATGTAAATGTTTTAGTCACGCCTTCTCTGTACTACTCATGAGAGATGGTGCTCTTCAAACATGAAATTCTGGAACCACACACTAGGTCCAGATTTATGTAATGGGACCAGCTCACTGTCGGTCTGCTGGAGGCAGCTCTGGAGCAAGCCGACCTGGCGGCGCTTGTGCGCCCAGGAAAATGGTTCAGGAGCTGGCAGGGGGGCTCTGAGCGGCTGGGCCGGCCCAACCTCAGAGCGTCAGCCTTCCACACTGTGCCGAAGAGCAGAAAGTGCTCTGATCACTCACCGAGCTGCTGCCAGCTGCTTCAGCTCTTTCCAATGCTCCACAAACTGTGCCAGCCGCTGCTGAATCTCCTCCTTCCCAATAGTGTTATCATCAGACAACTTCTTTCCAGTGTCCAGGACACCCTGATAGGCAAGAATGATTAGGTTAACAGCGGGCAGTTCCTCTGTCAATCTGCTTCTAGATTCCTGCCTCGAGGCTTCCAGAAAAAGGCCTTGACATTGAATTCATAACTTTTTCTTCTCATTTTAGACTGAGGCGTCATGAACATTGTACAGACCTCAGTGAAATAAACAAGAAGAGAGGATTTATTTGTCCGTCATCTGGGCCCCATTCAAACCCCTCTGCCCTCTCAGCCAGAAGATGCCCTCCTCACCTGAATTGCTGGCTCATGAGCAGCCAGTTCCGCCTCCAGCCGTTTGTGCTTCTTCCTCAGGTTCTGAACACCTGTTAGGTCTCGGCCATAGTCCTCGGAACTCACCAGCAGCTTCTTCTCCCTGGACGACACAGGCCAAGAGTGAGCCTCTTCCTCTCCCCATTTTCAATTTGAGGAGTTTGGTCGAAAGAGCTGCAAAACTTACAGGCCCCATGATGCCCTCATCTTACATCTACCAATCTCTCCAGAAAAATCCTTGGCAGTCTTCTGGAAAACAAAAGCCTCTATTTCCCAAATAAACAGTGTCCAAGAATCTCCTCTGCCCATTCAGGTATCCATGAGCACCTACTGCGTCCACACTGTAGAGGGTGGGGGATACACTGGAGAACAAGGAGGTACCACTGATGCTGCCTTTATGAAGCCTATTTATGATATACGCATATAAGTACGTTTAAAAAATATATATACGTCTAATTAAGGAAGTGAGAAATTGAAAAAAAAGGATTTTATCCTTAAATTCTGCTTTAAGAAGTCCAGATCTTCCCCAGGAGATCAGATGGTTTTCCAGATACTAACTCACTAATTTTCCCAGTGACCTAAAGGGCAGGGTCTAGACAAGGTCTAGCATAACCACTACCATTTTAGAGTCCATCACTGATCATTATAACTGCACGCCTGGACCCTAGATGAAGACTGAAGTGTCCCACAGTCAGTGCGTGGCAGAGCTGGGATCCCAACCCAGGCTGGTTTCTAAGCCTGCTTCCTTTCTGCCACACTTCCCTGTCTCACCACTAAAACTCTGAAATACTAAAACCTCATGACAAGGCGCCCTAGACCTCTTGCCTTACAAAATCAGTCCCAAGGTTCCTATCACCTGCTGTTACAGGCTCAAGGGGCATTCTAGAAGACCCAGAACATTAAGTTTCAGGAACACATACTTGATCCAGGATTCCTCATCATCCATGTCCCGGAAGAACTGGTGCAGGCGGTGGGACTCGTTCAGCTTGGCTCGCCGGGAAGCTGCCATGCTCTTGATCTTCTGGAAGCGACCGTTGATGGTGTCCCGCTTGTCCTTTACTTGGGAGGTGTCGAAAGCACTGCTGGTCATCAGACTGTCTGCTTGGCTGTTCAGGTCCTTCAGGCGATCCTGGGGCACAAAGGGAGGGTCATAAATCTGGGTCTCCCAAGCATATTCCTCACTGAGAAAACAGCACCAGGAGGTCTAACAGGTTGGTTTAACAATAGGACCACAGTTTATAATCTGCTGTGAGGGTTAATATTCTTTAAGGCAGCCGTTTTCGAAGTGAGTCAGATGGACCCTGGGGTTTTATAAGGTCAAAATTATTTTCTTAACAATGCTAAGATAAGATTTGCCCTTTTTACTATGTGGACATTTGCACTGATGGTGCAAAAGCATTGGGGGTAACACTGCTGGTGCCTCAGCTCCAAATTGTACTAGCAGAAATCAGATTGTTCACTGCCATGCGCCTGCTGTAAAAAATGCTGCTTTCATGCAAGAAACGTCCTTGAGAAGGCAGCAAAAATTGTTAATTTTATTAAATACCCATCCTTCATATAAACATGTTATTTTTCTATCCTATATGATAAAACATCCTGTATGATAAAATAGGAAATACACATAAACCACTTCTGCTGTTTACCTAAGTTCAATGACTGTCTTGAGGAAAAGCTTGTGTTGTGTGTGAGTGGAACCAGCTGCTTTTTTCATGGACCACCATTTTTTTTTGAAAGAACAACTAACTGATAAACTACAGTCCTTCAGACTTGCGTATTTGCAGATACTTTGTCAGAATGAATGAAGTGAGCCTGTCATTTCAAAGAAAACTGACAAAGTTTATTATTAATGAAAAAATTCGAGCTTTCATGAGAAAATTAAACTTCTGGAAAATTTATATCCACCACCATGAGCTTGACAGCTTCTGAATCTGTAAAGATTTTTCTGATGAGACTGGTGGTGATATAAACAAACGCTGATGTTCTGATAACATACAACGAAAAGTGTAAACATTTAGAAGATCTGCATAACTCAGTGAAACAATATTTACCAAGTCATCAACGTATGATGTTACGAAATCACACACGGGTAAAAGATTTCAATTCAAAGTGCAAAAACAGATAAGTAGATTTTATGCATTTTGGAGCCCTGTTGTTGGGTGCGTAAATATTTATTATAGTTATGTCCTCCTGGTGTACTGTTCCTTTAATTATTATATAGTGTCCTTCCTTATCCTTTGTGGTGGATTTTACTTTAACGTCTATTTTGTCAGAGATTAATATTGCCACTCTTGCTCTTTTTTGAGTGTTGTTTGCTTGATGTATTTTTTTCCATCCTTTGAGTTTTAGTTTGTTTGTGTCTTTATGTCTAAAGTGTGTCTCTTGTAGGCAGCATATAGATGGATCGTGGTTTTCTCATCCATTCTGCCACTCTCTGTCTCTTTATTGGTGCATTTAGTTCATTTACATTCAGCATAATTATTGATAGGTATGAATTTAGTGCTGTCATTTTGATGTCTTTTTTTGTGTGTTGACAGTTTTCTTTGTTCCACTTAATTTTCTGTGCTGAGTCGTTTTATGTATCTTCATCTTTTTCACTGTCGTTGATTTTGTATTTACTGAGTCTTTTTATTTTTCTTGTTTTTTATTTTGATGTGTAGGACTGTTAAGTTTCCTTTGTGGTTACCTTAATATTTACCCCTATTTTTCTAAGTTTAAGACCAGTAGATTTTAATACAGTATGAAAAATATATTGATATGGTTTCAAAGTCCACATTATAACTAACCTTTAAGAAACTACCACCTACTAAGCTTGGTATAGTATCACAGAAGAGTACCCACAATTATCTGAATTAAAATACTCTTACCTTTTCTAACTACCTACCTGTGTGAGACCATTAATTTCATCATATACAATCTATCACAACAGATTGAATTCAGAAGCAATTACTAGAATCTAACTGCTTCTATTAGGCCAGACATTAAAGAGATTTGCAAAGCTGTAACCAATGTCACTCTTCCCACTACCTTTTCTTTCGGTTTCTGCTGAGTAGTCCGAGGTTATTCTAATTGACTCTCCTTTGTAGATGACTTTTAGTTTATCCCTAGCCACTCCTAAAATTCTCTCTTTATCTTTGGTTTTGGCAAGTTTGATTATAATATGTCTTGGTGACTTTCTTTTGGGATCTACCTTATGTGGGGTTCGATGAGCATCTTGGATAGATATCTTGTCATCTTTCACGATATCAGAGAAGTTTTCTGCCAACAGATCTTTCAACAATTCTCTCTCTATTTTCTGCTATCCTCCCAGTTTTGGTACTCCAATCAGTCATAGGTTATTCCTCTTGATAGAGTCGAACATAATTCTTAGGGTTTCTTCATTTTTTTAAATCTTTTTATCTGATTTTTCCTCAAATAAGTTGGTGTCAAGTTCATAAAAATGTTACTTATGCTAACTTACAATTGGTTTATTACTATTTTAAGTGATTTAATGTTTTTTGAATTTCCAGTTTTAATCTTTTTAAATTTTGAAATAATTAGATTAATAGGAAGTTGCAAAAACAGTACAATTTCTGTACACCTTTCCTTATTAATAACATCTTACATAACTGTAGTACAATATCCAAACCAGGAAACTGACTTGGGTACAATCCATAGACCTTACTCAGATTTCACCAGTTTTTTTTACATGCATTCATTTGTCTATCTCTGTATATGTATGTGTGTGGTACCTTACAGTTTTATCACATTTGTGTAACCATCACCAAAATCAAAATACAGAACTGTTCCATTAGTACAAAGGAAGGTCCCTTTTGCTACCTCTATATAGTCACACCCAGCCCTCATCCCCAACCCTTGGCAACTGCCAATCTGTTCTCTCTCTCTATAATTTTGTCACATTCTGAGAATGTTCTGTAAATGGAATCATACAGTATGTAACCCTTGAGATTTAAAATTTAATTTAACTTTAAAAATGTATTTAACCTTCAATATGGTAAGTATTGATAGATGGAAACCCACATAAACAAAATCTCTTTGGAGTCCTCAATAATTTTTAAGAGTATAAAATGGTCCTGAGACCAAACTGTTTGAGAACTCCTGCTTTAAATGATGGCCATTACCCTCCTTTCTCAAATGGCCCAGCTCTTGTTCGGAGTCCCAGACACCTGTGGCCTGGCTGCCCTCCCTCCGCTTACCTCATGGGCAGAGATGTCTGCCTCCAGCAGCTGATGTTTCTTCAGCAGGTTGTTCACAGAAGCCAGGTCTTTGCCGTAATCTTCAGATGCCAGAAGGGCCTCCACCTGGCAGTGGAAACAGATTAAGAGAAAGGCTACTGTACAGCACACACTTAGTGTTCTCGAAAATCCAGGATGCCTCAGTTTTATTCCAGGTCCTTGCTCGGACACTTCTCAATCACAAACTTGTTATGGCTATTCAGCTTGTACCAGCCTGCATGGCCAAAGACACCTTCTCCTGAAGTCAACTGAATGCAGACTCAAAAGCCTATTAATTTAAATATTACAGCTAAAGGCAGCATCACTGAGCCTTCACTGTGGTACAATGACAAAATGCACAGCAACCCAACTCCAAGGGGACTCCCCCTAGGGAAAAGAATCAGTAGTATGGACATACACAGGTATGTTCACTGCAGCAAAATTAATAGCACCAAAAAGCTGGGAATACCTGAATGTGCAACAGTATGGAATGGTTAAATTATGGCATATCTCTATGATAGACTGTTATGCAGTTATTCAAATGTTTAGGCAGAATTTTTAGTGACTTGTGATAGCACTCCCAATACATACTAATAAATGAAAACTTACACTGTAAGCTCAACTATATAAAAAAAGTATCTACACAAATATTAATGAAAATATGTACAGATTGGAAAGAAATATTCTAAAATTGTCAGCAGTGGTGGTCTCTAAAAAATTCCTACTCATTTTTTATATTTTCTGTACTATCCAAATTTTCTACAGAGAGAATGCACTATTAACTCACCGCTATTTTGATTTCTGACTCAGTATAGACGCGTTAGAGCTGCCTGCCACAGAGACCCCATAATCTCTTCCTATTTGCATTTCCTGTGGAGATGAGTGACCTGTGTTCCATGTCTCACAGAAAATGAGCTCTCTCCTCTAAACATTTACCCTCTGTGTATAAATCCTTTACAACACACAACTTATATATCTTGATAATAAAGACTTCTGTTAAAAGGGGCACTTGGCCAGGCTGCCTTGTCACTTTTGAGCTCACTGACTGACCTACTACCCAAATGACTAGAAATCCCCCATTGGTGGGAAGGGAAAACCACTTAGCATTACCTCAGAAAGCCAGAAGTCAAAGTCCTTGATTCCAGTGTTGAAGTTCTGCTGCTTGTTGGCTTCCTTCAATTTCTGGCTCTTTTCAGCTGACTTCTGCACCAGGAATTGCCACTGGTCAGCTAGGGCAGCCAGGCGGGCCTGGGGAGGAGAAGGGAGCCATCAGAGATGATGAAATCCATGAAGTACCCCCATCCTCCCCTAGAGCTCAAATGGATAAGATCTAAGACAGGAAAATGGAAAACATTCATAGGAACCACTCTCACTACATTTCCCCATCTGTAATGTGGCAAAAAGTCTTCTAATCTGTTGATTTTCTTAAGACTGAATTTCAGAATTGTCATGAAGTTGACAGTAACAGGTGGGGGTCAGGAAAAGAGTAGCTGGTGGATCATACCTTGACAGCATCTTCGCTGCCAGCACAGGCCCCACGCTCAATGAGGGAGTTACCCATGTCGATGACCCCACGGATCCGGTCAGCATTGGCGTGCAGCTCTGCTTCGAAGGCCTGGTGCTTCTGGTGCTTGCTCTGAAAATACCAAAAACAACCTTTCAAAACCAGGTCCTGCCAGGCTACGAAGAGATTCTCAGAAGGAAGGGAGGAGTAGTAAAAACTTAACAGAACTGGGGGCAAGGGTCAAAACCTTTTTTATAGAAGCAATCAGAGAATGTGTGTGAAATAATTTAGGGGTCAGTCTGTAGGGGAGTTCAGAGAGACTATGGACCAGAGAAAGGAAATGTACCAGCTCAGGAGGAGGTGAATTGAAAGTTGATTCTTAAATCAGCTGGACTCACTTTTTGGGAATTAAGTCCTAGAATTACACGCTTTCTAACATTTTTGCAGACAACAGCAATGGCCTATTTCAGTTTTTAATTTACTTGTGCGTAAAGTTACATTTATGGCTTTCTTCTTATTAGAGCCCACAAATAACACACATAGGGATATCTCATCACCTAAGGCAGCAATCACTATCAAGCAATGTGATGGTCAGTCTTAACACATCTGTTGACAGAAAACAGCTACAGCTGCTAAAGGCCTCAGTATTGCTGGTTACCAACTGGTAGCTGTCATTAAACAAAACTCTTGGATACTGTCAAACCCAGGTTTGACTGTAAGTTGGAATTTATTTTTGCTGGAAAAATAGAGGGCTATTTAAGAAGGATGGAATCCTGACTCTGGGGCCTGAAATAGTTTTTAAGAATCGTCTGGAAACAGAAGGTGTGGAAACACTGTCAACAAGAGACAACTGCAAGGACACAGAAGCTGTGGCACAATTCTGGGTGAGAAACACAGGGTCTCACAGGGAGTGTTATTTGGGAAAAAAAAATAAAAAAAAAAAGCAGTAGAGTTGGGGAAGAATTCTGCATCAAATGTTTCATTTCAGAGGCAACAATCATCAAAGGACAGAGCCGTCTGGTTGGCTAAATTTGGCACTAACAGGAAGTGTCCTTGTTATGTAACTCCAGTCACCTGACCCAAAATACAAGAATAAAAAAGGTCTTAAAAACCCATACATCTGACAAAAGTCCAATTCCCCTCTCCTTCTGTTTCATGTTCTGATCTCTCTTTGGTTCAAATCCCATTCATTGTCTTTTATTTTTTCATTTCTCTCACCCATGGTAAGCAACTTCCGAGCTACGTGTTAACTGAAAAGCCCCTTTCACTGACCCCTTGGGAGACGTCCCCCTCTTATCCTTCTCATGCATAGATTCGGAGGCAGATCACCTGCGTTGCTATAGTTCCCTAGCTGCTCCTCTCCAGTAATCAGCACCTCTGGATGCCAGACTAGATGTGCAACGACCAAACGCTCCTAGCCTGCTAGAGTCCCCACCCTGGGCCGCAGAATACCACGAGCCCACAGCAAGCATAAGCCAAAGTCTATTCAGACAAGCTGGTGATTCCATTTTTCTAAAGAAGCACACTTTGAAACAAAGCAGTCAACTACTGCCCCCAAAATCAAACATTGTACAGAACTTGCCTCAGTGATAAACTGGGGGAGGGGAGTAGAGGGCTGCAGGCTAATTAAAACAGAGAAAGCCACATCCCACAGGGACACGTGAATGAAGTATGATGGATGATTAGAAATGAAAAGAATGGATGGAGAAACACTAACAGACTGTGTGACCACACTGACAATAATCTATACAGAAGAACACAAATACTGGAGCTTATTTAACTAAAACTCTTTGGAAAAAAAAAACTTACCAGCAGCTTGGAAAGCTACAAAAATAGATTAAAAAGAACAAGAGTTCAGTACACTGACGTGAATATGCATATCAGCTATTAAACAGAAACTCATTTTGCTGTCATACTTCCGCTGGGAAGCTCAGTATTTGGGGACAGTAAATAAAAGGGGAAATTTATAGACTTTTATAGACACAAATAAGGAAAGCAACTTTTAAATGGCTCTGATGATTTCTTGGGGGCTTTTCTGAGGGCTCAGCTTACTAAAATAATTTTCATTGGCTTCACCAGGGGGACAAATAGACTGTTTATATGTATATCCCCTTGTAACGATGCCTTGTTTAACAAAATGTACTCAACAACACGGGGCTACTTCAGAGATAAACATCCATTCAGTTCAGCTCACCTGGATGTTGGTGGGATCCTTGTAGGACTCATCACTTGCCGTCTGTAATTTCTCACTGATCCAAGCCTCGATCTCATCCACATCTCGGCTAAACTGCTGGAGGGTTTGAGACTCTCCTAGCTTTGACCTTTTCTCAATCATTTGGGCTTTTAGACGTCGCCACCTGGGAAAGTGAAACCATTAATCAAATGTGACCATTGCTCACCTTGCAGAGCAGTAAGCTGGGAACAGAGCCATTTGTTCCCCTTAGCAATCCCTCAGGATGAGGCAGAGCAGAGCTTTCCCAAAGGGTGCGTGTTCTCCTGTACTTGGTGACATACCCCAGAACACCCACCTGTCCAAAACCTCATTACGGCGGCTAGAAATGTCTTCTTTAGCATAGTGGCCGGCAGAGATGAGCTGGTCAGCAAAGGACTGCAGAGCGGCAATCTTCTCTTCCTGTCAGCAAACAAAGGCAGGAGGTCAAGGTGGGGCAAACTGACTGCCTGGACTGCAGGTCTTGAGAAGAGAATGGTTACTTCGGGCGACTGAGAAATAGCTGGTGACAGGATCAGAATACACTGACACTTTAGAACCGAGTGTAAAAAGCCAGAAGAAAGCTTGATTTCAATCATTACTAGAGCAGAGTTTAACTCAAGAAGATTCCAGGTCACACCGGGGTGCGGCAAAGGCTACAACACCATAGATGTCACACACAAAACTTGTCTGAATCATAGAAAAAGTTGTCAGATTTTCAACACAACAGTTTAGAAATCAAAGAGTTTTATAACTTTCTGACATTATGTTCATGTATTCCTTATCTACCCATTTGTTTTTCTCCTTTCACAATATTTTTTTCTGTAACATTCTTTTATTAAAACCTAAGAAATACCAGAATTCATATTTAAACAGTTTTTCTATGTATGTTCATTTCATTTCTCCTAGACTACAAGGGATTTCTTTGAGATAGAACAAGAAGTATGTTGCTTTTTTGGTATGGTCAGTATCAAGTATTTTAACTTAAGGAAGCTGCCAAGTCTACTTTTGATTCTAATCATGAAGAGAGGAAAGAACACTAGACCATCAAAAAGAGGTGGGGTGAATCTGGAAAATTTCAGATTCAGACTCTAAGGCACAAAGGCCTCACCTGGACATTAATTGCTTTGTCAAAGTCTTCATGTTTTTTGATCAGAGCCTCCACACTGTCAAGCGAGTCTCCTTTGTCTTCTGTATTCAGGAAGGCCTCTCGGGCAGCCATCCAGTTCTCGGCTTGCTCACAATCCCTATGAAACAGCTAAGGAAGGGGAGAGGCAGGTGAGAAGATGGAGTCTTTGGTAATGACTCGCTAGTCAGAAATGCTGTGGGGCAAACAGGAAGCTATTGTCTAGAGCACACGTACCTGAAGTTCAAGGCACTGATCCAACATCATTCTGCGCTGAAACCAGGCCTTCTCCAGATCTGTGCGCTCCTGATCTAGAATATCTAGTTTCTCCTTGATCTCTGGGCTGGCATAGTGCCCATGAGCCAACAGCTGCTGCCCAAACTGCTCAAATGCCTGGAAAGTGCCAGCCCTGGCATCAATTTCTGTCCGGTGTTCCTGGCAAGAGGAGAGAAGGGATTAAATAACTGGCATAGATGCCCATTCACTCTCATGTCAAGCACCGACTCACAACACAGGGTGGGGAGTGAGGCCTTCCACAGGCCAGCAAAGCAGCCGTGTTTCTGCTACTCAGCAGGCAGGTCTACCCACCTGGTGTCGCTCCAGCAAAGCTTCAGCTCCAGTGACATCCTTGGCTAGCTCATCTGAGGATACCAATCCCCGTATTCCATTGATCCAAGACATAAGGTCCCTGGAAACCAGATCCACAAAAGAATACCCATTACACTATCTGGCAAACAGGCCTTCTGCCCAGGAAAAGAGAGAAGTACCTAATTCTGGTGTCAGAAGGTTATTTTGGGTTACTGTAGCCTAATGGGGCTAGATCTCTGGGCAAAGTATTTCAAAACCTCTTGTTTTGGGGTATCAAAAAAAAATAAAGAATTCCTCTGAGGAAAAAATGAATAGCTTTATTACTAAAACCTTTTTACCCTGCAGAATAACAGACTCTAACAGAGGCTATAGCTATGCTTACATTTTCTACAGCTTCAAATGAAAAAGCCTTTCATTAGGGTTAAGCCTTAAAAAATCATAGGACTATGCATACTTTTGGAACCCTGGTGGCCTAGTGGTTAAGAGCTCGGTTGCTAACCAAAAGGTCAGCAGTTCAAATCTGCTCCTTGGAAACTCTATGGGACAGTTCTATTCTGTCGTATAAGGTCACTATGAGTTGGAATTGACTTGATGGCAATTTTTTTTTTTAAATGCACGTATTTAATCCAGCCCTCTACAAATGTACACACACAAGGTTATAAAAATATATGTGTGAAAATATCATTAGATAGCACAAAAATACACAAAAGGAATAGCTGTCCTAAACCGGTACTATTAAACAAGTTATAGGTCACACATTCAGTGGAACGCTATGTAGTCATTAAAAAGAATGAGGTACCAGATCATGAGACATTCTATAAGACAACTGGCCTGGACTCTTCAAAAATGTCAGCCTCATGATGAAGACTGTAATCCATGTCCCTGAATTATACATGTGAAAACTGCTGAATTGACAAATGTTTTGTCATGTATATTTTTACAATAAAACACACACACAAAATGTCAACCTCATGAAAGACAAAAAAAAAGGGGAGGGTGTACTGTTCTAGATTAAAGGAGACCAAAGAGAAAAGACTGCCAAATGTAATAAGTGATCCTTGACTGGATCCTGGATCAAAAAATAAACCACAGCTATAAAATACATACTTAAAACAAATGGAGAAATATATAGATGAAAATTAATTATTATTAGTGTTAAATTTCTTGGGTGTGACAATGAAAATATAATTATGTAGAAGAATGGCCATATATATTACACATACACACACCCATACTGATAGAAAAATAAAAAGATAGATACAGATAAACATATGCTGAAGTATTTAGGGATAAAATGACATGTATCTGCAACTTACTTTCATGTGGTTCAGAAAAACAAAAGTGTTACGTATATGCAGAGATAAGCAAATGTCAGAAAACGTTAACTAGTGACTATTTATTCTTCCTATTTTCCTATAGCCTGAAATTTTTTCTAAATAAAAATAGTTGGCAGAAAAAGACTGAGGTATAGCTGTATCGATTATGTGAAAATTATGTCTAAGGAAAAAAACATCCTGTTCGTCGGGGGAAGGGAAGATGTGCATGTGTGTACACATGCTTAGATACGAAAGTACAGACTTGTTTTTGACTTTTTGGAATTCAGTACTGTTTGGATATTTTACATTAAGAATGTATTATATTCATAATAAAAACAACCATTAAAAGGTTCTATGCTCCAGAACTCTGAGCTAATTAATACTTTGCTTTTTACCGGAAATCGCTAAGGAAGCGCTGCAGGTCATGGGAGTCGCCCAGCTTGGCCTTGCGTTCATCGGCACGTTTTCCCAGGCTGTTCCAGGCCTGGTTTAACTCGGTGCATTTTTCCTGTAGGTCTTCTGCTGACTCAGGATGGGACTGGATCAGGCGCTCTGCTGTTTCACCAAGGGAATTTACCTACAGGAAGAAGGTGGTGAGAACACAAGAAATAAGGGCATTCCACTGGCAACAATGTCAGAAAATGACTTTGCATCCTCTCACCTTGTCGCCGAGAGCAGCAAGGTCTCTCTCAAAGCCCTCATGCTTACGCTGCAAAGCTTGAACACTGGCCAGATCGTGGCCATAATTGTCTGTGTTTAGAGCCTGATTCTTCTCTTCAATCCATTCTTTCGTTTCATCGGCATCTCTATAGGCAAGATAGACATACATTTAAGTTAACAAATGCTGAGTACATTTGCCTTGATTACAGAATAAATGCAGGGATGTAGTTTATTTAGCTGGCATTTGCACATCTGTCAGTTGGTACCACCAATAGCTCTAGAAAGCAAGAGAACATTCATTCCTTCCCTCAGCAGTATTTACCAAGCACCCACCTGTGTCAGATACATCCTAGGTGCTGGAGTGCACAAGTATCAATAAAATCCAGCTGTCACTCTGAGAGCTCTCAGCCAGCAAGTTTGAAGTTGGTCAGTGTAAACTCAGCAAACTTGACAGTCAACAGATTCTCCCTCTTTCAGCGCTGTGCTGGCCTCCTTACCTGTGGAACCTCTGCACCTCATGGGCACTGCCCAAGAGCTGGCTCCGCTCCTCAGCCAGCTGCTGCAGGGACCGCCAACGCTCGTTCAGCTCCTGGAAGATGACAGCAAAGTGTCAGCTCTGCTGCAATCCCTCTTCTGTCACACCAACACAGAAGAGGACTTTGGGGAAAGGACCAAAGGACTGAGGTTTAACTTGAAAGGAAATGTTAGGGCACATAGGATTTCCTGTTTACAACCTTCGTAGTTGAATAAATTAGTATACAACTGCAGCAAGATTCCAGAAAGTCAGAACCAAGCCAAAGCTTGCTGTACCCAGTGGCTTGGATACTCCATAAACACTAGTGCAGGAACTGTGTTTAACAGGAGGAGCCATGGCTGACTTGTCCTCCCTCCCAGCTCCTAGCCTGGTGCCTGGCATGTAGCAACTGCTTCATAAACAATTATTGAGTGGATAAATTTCAGTCTACTGCCTCTAAACACTTAACACAGCTACATCATCCAGCCATAGCAGGCCTGAAAAAGCTGGATTGCCACAGGACCTTACACAGAATGAGGCAAACCTCCTTAAGGTCCAGAAATGGTGGAGTCTGTAAGGAGGCAAAGAAGGCACTCATTGCTTTCCTGAGAATATGTTCCTCACAGATCCCAGCCCTACTGGAAACCAAAGGGGAGGCAACTTCATTTTTAAAAATTAATTTTTTTCAAAATGGAAAATGTTGATGATTTAAAAAAATAAAGAGAACCCAAGACATAAAAAAATAACAGAGACTATTTCTCTAAGCTTAGAAAATGCCAATACCTCCAAAAGTAGCATTTATAGCATAGAACTGGCAAATTTTTGAGCAGGAAAGCAACCAAGCCGCCCTGCTGCCAGGAAGAGTGTTGATATTTGCCTGGGACACTCTTGGCCCCAGAAGAGTCAGAAGTGCTACAATGAAAACAGGACAAGAGCTCCACTACAGAGGGAGGACAGTGGTGAAGAAAGCCGGGGAGGGAGAGAAGAAGATCTGGTCGCTGTTTCTTACCTTGATAGAATTAAAGGTGGCCACGGTGTGAACCATCAGGCGAGCAGACTACATAGATAGGGAGGAAAGCAGAGAGCAAACTAATCAAGTGTCTGCCAATTAAGAGACAGAAATCTGAGATGTAAGTGCCATTAATTAGGTCCCAATTGTCAACCACAATGATCTTAAAGGGATACTGTCAAAATTCAGAGCAGAGGCATTAATAAAAGAATTGGCCAAAAGAAAGTCATGAAAAAAATCCCAAGTGTACAATTAGACCCAGCTTGCTGATTAATTTTACCCAGTTAATAGTTAAAGGAGAGTGGTAGAACCATAATTATAACCTCTGGGATAGACAAAAAAACAGGCAAAGACTAATGCTTAGTGCCTTTTTCTTGTCTGTACCACAGGAAGAATACTTCAGTAAACACACTCAGTTTAATAAGTGCTGGCAACCGAGATTATTTATACCATCAAGTATAGTAATAACCAATCAATTTCATTTGTATTTATGGTTTTTGGGCTGCTGTTCATTTTAACAGTGTCACCTTGAACCAAGACAACAGTCTTACCAGATGAAAAAGAAAAAACAGTGAATCAGCTTTCTTCTCAACAACATCATACCTTCTTATAAAAATCAAATTCCCTTGGGATCTTAGAGCCCACTCAGCTTTATCTGGAAGAAACTCCTCTTGGCAGGCATTCTAACATCCACAATCCTTTCTGTACATAAAGAAAGGAGGGCCTAAGCTTGGATGAAGGGAAGTAAAGCTCTTCAGCTGTTTCAGTGAAAACCTCAGGTGACATTTTCAGCCAGTGTGGACAGGGCTCAAAAGGTAGAGACTCACTGTCTCCAATCCTTTTCAGAATGTTTATAAAGATATCTAAAATATATTTCTGAAAAAATACTTATGTCACCAGAAAAATTCAGGGAGATGAGATAGGTAAGGTTGTTGCCCATCCATATCATTCATGATCAAATTCTGCTGTATGAAAAAAACTAAGATTGAAAAAGGGCAGAAAGGTGAATCAAAGGAAACATTATTCCCCGGCCCAATTTGAAGACCTTTTCATTTAACAAGCAGAATAGTTAAAGCCAAGTTGGATGAAGGAGGCCAAAGAAACAGATCCTTTTCAGCCTAGGTCCTCAAGACAAGCCAGACAAGATGACGGAGTAGGTAAAAAGTATCAATTTAGGAGGCTTGCTGATATCTGTGGTGTGAGGTTTCTTTTGTTTTTATGCTTTCTTCCTATTTCAGGGAAATGCACTTTTATATAGTAGAAATCTCCCTAACTTGCCTATAATTCAAGTTAAAAATTCCTCAACAACTGGTTCAGGAGGGAAGATGTTAGAATTGAGACGCAGGCAAAAAGTTTCATAATCATAACTATAAAGACTTCATATAAAACAACAACAAAACAACCCTCCCCCCTGTACTCCTGGTCAGACTTAGGCCCACTCTGGTCAAGGACCACACCTCCATTTGTTTGGAATACTTTCTACTTCAGTTGGTACATCTCTTGTTCCTCCCTTTACATCTCTCCTCAGGATTTGGAATCTTCTATGAAGGCTTTCTTAGGCCACAAGAGAAAACAGTCATGCAGCTGCTGTATGGAAAGTTTACCGATATCACCCTCCTGGACATTCTCCGTCATTTTCTTGTTCGAGTCGTGTCCTTTTGGAATGCAATCCTATTGGTGGGACCATGCCCAACCATGAATGCCACCCCTACAAGGTACACTCAGGCACCAATATGGGTAATAGATGCAATTTAGCCATGTTGTTATTGTTGTCACGCCCACACAGTCTACAAGACAACTGGCCTGGACTCTTCAAAAACGTCAACCTCATGAGTCAATTCTGACTCATAGTGACCCTATAGGACAGAGCAGAACTGCCCAATATGGCTTCCTAGGCTGTAATCTTCACAGGAACAGATCACCACATCTTTTCTCCCACGGAGCAGCTAGTGAGTTCGAACTGCTGGACCTTTCAGTTAGCAGCTGAGCATTTAACCATTGCAACACCAGGGCTTCTTAACTGTTCTGAGCACTTATATGTGATCACTTTGCTTGTGTACATTAAACACCACATTTCAAGAGATAACAGATTTAAAGAATATAATGCCAGGTTCAGAAAAAAACAAGTCCAGAAATGACCAAAGGCTCAAATAAACATGAATACTCAGGTAAAGGACATAAAACATTTTTATGCTCCTGCAAAACCTCTGGAAACAATAATTTACAAAGGAATTCTTACCTTCCATGGGGAGGCTGTCTTGGATTCAGTTTCATCCTAATTCAAAATAGAAGGAGAAGTTTAGGCAGCACCAAACAAAGCAGTGCCCCTATCTTTCCTTTTAAACGCCCCTATTATTTCTCCGGGGAGAATGCACAGATACATTAACCGGAATAGTATTCTTCTCTCCGTAATTTAGAGCTTATCATTGGCTCATAGCAAGTTGCAAGACTGGTTGAGAGAGATTAAGCAAATGGAGAAAAATTTCAATTTTCTATCCCAGTAAAATTGGTGAGAATGAGAAAATTTAATAACAAAACTACCAACTCTTCTTTACATCATACTCATAGGATCCTTTCAAAAGGGGTAATAAACAAGCCTAAATGAAAGGTGTCGAAGAAGTTTTAGAAAACTGAAGAGATAAAAAAAACTCTGGTCTTTTGGAGAAGAGCAAATGGAAATCAACTTCTGGTGTTTCTTTTCCACACGTCTTCACACTTGGACTTTACAGTCTTCCCAAGATCTAATCCTTCTCATGTTCAAGTTCCAAATGGAGCAGGTGGGACTTACCTTGGGCATCATGCCATACACCTCCTACAAGGAGAAAGGGAAACAAGCGTTATTACACACCTCTCAGGAATATTCATCTTGTCAAACTTGGAGACACAGAATTACAAAAAGGCACATAAAAACGCTAGAGCTTTCTGAAGTCTAGTAAAGAGACCAGGTACTTATACGTAAATACTTTTTATTTATAAGGAACTCTTTAGTTTATTATTAGCTAAGGGCTATACAAACATTAAACAACTTTAACATATTCAGTAGGCTTAAGGAGAAGACAGGAGCTTTTTTCTCCACTATATGAAGGTAAGGGATACTGGCCCAGGGAAGCTAAAACAAATGGTTTAGGTCACACAGGGGACCTGGCGTATACCCTAGCCACAATTCTGTACTACAAATCACTGCTTGTTGAGCTATGAAGGACATGAGAACCACATTGCTTTCTTATGGCAACAAAACGTCATCCAAGATCGAGATACCCACCTGCTGCTGTACTGCCTGCACCTCCTCTGCCATTAGGCCTTCAGACTCCAGGTCTTCAGCCACCTTGTTAATGTCCTTCAACCGTGACTCATTGGCCTTCAGATCCTAGAGCAAAAGCCACAATAGCAAGTCAAAGAAGACTAACAGATATTCTTAAACTATATTCTAAAATGACAGCTCTATCAATTTCTGTTCAACAGATACCCTATGAACTGGTTTTCCTATTCCTTGACAGTGACCTAAATCAGGAAGTACTGATTACCACTAAGAAGGAAACAATAATAGGGTATTGGCAACATTCTGTCTCAAATTTACTTAATTAACTGTAGTTAATGAACAAACTTTTTTTAAAATCTTCTTCAGCAGAAAGTGAGAAAACAATGTCTTTAAAATGTGATGAAATTTTGATGCCTAGCCACTATGGGGAAAAGCCACATTTTAGTTGGTTATAAGAATATTTTTACACCTTTTTATATTTTAGGTTTACAAAAGTTCTTAAAACAGTATGTAAAGAAAATTGCATCCCTTTGTATGAAACTAAAAACTGGTCCAAAAAAAGTTTCGATTAAGGTAATTTAAAATGGTGGAACATAATCTACATAACACATTTTCATTCTAGTAATCTGCAATCAAAAATCAAATCTTTAAATGATTTTTCAGCCCAGCTGCGAGACTTCCCATACCTTCTGGAAGTCATCAAACTTCTTCTGTAGCACCTCAACCTGCTCCAAGTCTGCGCCGACCTCCTCACTCGTCAGAGCAGCTTCCTTCTCGTTGATCCACTGCTGGAGTTCATTTGCTTCACGGAACAACATAAACTTCTTGCAACTTTTCTCCAACATGCCTTTACGCTTCTCACCCAGTTCCAGCAGAGAATGATATCTGATTTAATTCAAGAGGGTGACAAGAGGGGGCAAGGAAGGCAGTTAGCTTCCTACTGATGCTAACATAAAGGCAAACCACCAGGTGTCTCCAACAGGTGGATCCAAGGCTATGAGTTTGTAATGATGATGCCTAGTGACAAAGTATCAGAACGCAGATGAAGATGAAGCTCCCAAGTATCCACACTACAGCCTCAGGGCAAGCATTTGCTGTATCGTTCACAACTAGGTGGCTGGAACAGTCAGGCACACTCATCCCCAGGCCAATTCTGCACTTACAATAGCACAACCACAAATGACTGGAAACAAGCGTTTAGCACATAACACAGGGTTCATGCGATTATGGCTAAGAGATGAGATGAATCTGCTGAGCATAATGTTTACAGAGATTTTTTTTCTCCTCTAATTCTCTAAACAGGCCTCAGGCGAGAGGGTGGGAGAGGGTACACTGAGCCTAATAGCCTAATATAGGATAACAGCCTAATACAGGATGTTTGTATCTCTGGATCAGTAGAAATTTCTGGAATGATAGTATTTATTTTTCAGAAAGTTTGGGCAACTTCAAAAGGAAAATCAGGTAGAGTACACAGAGCATCTGTATCATTTGTTATCTGGAAGATTTCTTAAGAAGAATAGAAGGCTATTCTGACCATTGGAAACTAAAATACAAAAGGCTGAATTCCCACTACTTTTGGAGATGTGAAAATGACAAACTCAATAAAACTGAGCTAGAAGTTAAAAAAAAAAAAAAGTAGTCTAGAATGACCATCAAATCTAAGCTTCCCAAACTGAAATAAAAAAAGCAATAAGTTACCAAGAATCAGAGCTCTTTAAGAAAGCTATTTAATTTCCTTTCTACTAAGGAATACTTTAGAATCAGCCTTTAGGTTTAAGGCTGATAGACTGGTCCACCACAAAGAACCAACAGAAGGGGGAACCAACAACACTCGGAACACACAGCTGCACATGGAAGCAACCAATGAGGTAAGCAGCCATCAACTGGCACAGCTTCACCAAAACCTCTTCCCTCGTGAGCGAAAGCTGCTGCACAGAAACACAGTTGCTCCCACCACCTCATCTCTTCTAGATGAACAACTGGCTTCAAGAGAAGCAGCAGAAGCGGAATGAACAGGTATAGCAATGGACACAGGGTGCTCAGCAAGGCTTTCTGCCTACTCACAGTTCTTCCACCTGTTTCATACGCAGAGATACACTGCCGGCCTCCTTAGTTATGCGTGTCCTGCACAGAGGGGGCACAGCAAAAGCATGCACAAATTAGTGGGATTAATCCACCGGAATGAAAAGCGGCAGCTCCGACTGGTGCCATGATGGTGGATGCTTTAAGTAGGGGAAAATTAGGGAGTCATTCAAAAGCTGTCAGAAGCAGGCCAGGCCATGAATGAAATCACAGTAAAGAAATAGTAGGAAAATTAAATTGGAGGGTTAGTTCACCTTCATCTTCCTGAAAAGTCTGCCATGCTTAAGGCAGTAGATTTTCCTGTACTGGAAACATTGCTAATTTCACAGAGCAAGGCCAGGGAGTTAAAAATGATCACCCTTAGAAAGAAATTTTACTGAGGGCTAAGAAATAACTTTAGCCATGTATGTAGTCCACATTTTTTGCTCTCATATTTATGATCCAAGCCAGTGGAAAGAAAACAAACCGAAACCTCTCATTTTTGTCTCAACAATAACAGAGTTTTTAAGTGTGCAAATAATTCTAATCTTTTTAGGGATCACCTGGGTCAGAAAAATTCAATTATTCTAAATTCTAGTGGGAATGTATTTTCTGGATATTTCCCAAGTGTCCAAAGCTGCTGATTTCATTAGTGGAATAAGATGTGCTATAAAGGAGGGACACACGTCAATATAGTTTAGCTATACTAAAGAGGACAGAACCATTTCGTAAAAATAAATTCCATTCCCAGAACACAAATCCGTGGTAGAGAGAGCACTTCTCTAAGCAGGCAGAGCTGTAGAACATCTAAGTATCCATTTTCAGAAGGCAGCTCGAAATCAGAGAACAAAGATTAAGATGGTAATGATTAGAAAAATGCTGTTTAGAAAAAGAAATGCAGGAACACGGGAAAAAAAACAAAGGGCAATAAAACATCAGTCATGATTTTAGCTTCAAATGGCATTTTGTGAGTTAAAAATGACTTGGGGAAAGCAGGAAGAATATGCCTTGAGTGTAGATAGGCGCCAGACGAACATTCATTCTAGAAGCCTCGACACTGCCTAAACCACCCGTGATGCAGACTAAGCCCCTTGTGATGACCATTGTGTGGTCATCTGGGCCTGTGTGATCGGACCCGACCGCCCTTACTGATTGTCAATTTGCTCCTGCCGCAGCGCTATGCTGCCCTGCTCCTCCAGGAGGTTCTCCCGGGATGCTGACTGGGCGGGGTCCAATTTCTTCACATATGCAGCTGGCACGAAACCCTGCCGATCATTCACTTCCACTTTCCACCAGTCCTAAAAACAAAAAAGGGGAGAGAACTAAAAATAAAATTCCTTCGTCGTTGTTGAAAATATACACAGCAAAACACGCCAACAATTTCTACATGTATGATTCTGTGACACTGATTATGTTCTTCAAGTTGTGTAACCATTCTCATAAAACTCCTTCTTGAGAAGGGGAGAATCCAAGGCCTGTGTACGTGTGTCTGCATATTCACACTAAACTGAGTGCTATATCATTTTAAGAGGATCCCAGGACTGTTAAAGTCACTGCACAAGCACTGAAATTTTGGCCCTGTCTTTTCATCACCTGCCAAGCATGGAGGAGGTCACAAGTGAAGCAGCAATGATACCCCAACACAAAGGACAGCCTTCTCTGGGCTTAGACACTCTAGAACTGTGCTGTCCAATACTGGAGCCACATGTGGTTATTTAAATTTAAAGAAATTAAAATTAAATACGGTAAGAAATTCAGTTCTTTAGTCACACTAGCCACATTCAAGTGCTTAATAGCCACGTGTGGCTAGTAGCTACTGTATGGGTAACACAGACATACACAATTTCTACCATCATAGAAAGTTCTATTGGAAAACACTGCTCTCAAATAAACCGGAGTCAGACCAGTGGGGTTGGTTTAGGTCGAAATTAGAGTGAGGAAAGATATGAATCACATGTTTCCTCAAACTCTCATGACTAAACAATTGGGGATGTGGGAATAGGGGAGTTCCTAACAAGGGCTGAGAACATTTCTCTAGCCTTAACCAGGTTGGGAGGTAGTTTCCTTCGGGACTAGTCAGATAATATGTAGAGTATCATGTGCCTCAATTCAAGTCACTGTCAAACCAGAATGTGTCAAGGAAGAAAGACTGATGAACCAAGCAGTATTGAACTTGGAGAAGACAAAGCCTATGGGATGACATCACAGCTGTCTTCAACCATCTGCTGGGCTGAGATGTAAATGTACAGTCTAGGTTAAGAGCCAATAGGTACAAGTTATAAACAAGTGGACTTTGGCTCAAAAGGGAAGGAATTCTCTCTGGAGAGTTTGAATCTGTACTACTTGCAGGTATTCAAGAAGACAGATTTATGATGTTCTTGACCATATGCAGTACAGGATAATAAGCCTGTACTAAGTGGGAGATTAGACCAGGAAACTCTAATTTTAATCTCTTCAAATTCTAAACCAGCTTCATTCTGGGGCAACATAACCAACCAAAGGCACCCAACTGAGCAAACCTGGCGCTGACTGAAACACACACACACAATCACTTTCTATGCCTTGCCTTGTTGGTGCTGTTGAGTAAGGTGAGAATATCTCCTTTTTTCATGGTGACCTCTCGAGGACTCTTCTCCTGATAGTCATAGAGAGCCAAGACCAACTCCTTCCCAGTCTCATCATCCATAGGGGCCACTTGTTGCTAAAAATCCAAAGGAAGGACAAATATGGTTAAAAGATGTCCATGGTGTGTCATCTAAGAACACAACAGATCCCAAGCTCAAACTTAACTACGTACGTATTTATGAGAGTTCTTCCCAGAAGCTATCCATATAATCTTATTCAAGAATTTTAGCTGCTTGATATCATTAAGAAATCTTGCTTTAAACCATAAACCTTTGTGTCATAAGAATGATGTGGAGGACTGTAACACCTGTTGGTAATAGCCCAAGCCCCTCAACTTTCCCTGCCCCCCCCCATAACCCATAAATGCTGAAACAAAGCCAAGTTTACCCGGCACGATTGAGCTTGCTCTCGCAAAGCATGAATGCTGCTGCCATAGGCGCTGAGATCTGACATCAAAGCTTCGTGTTTCTTTAGCAGAGCCTGAAACCAAAATCGTACATGGAGTACCTGCGTGAGGAGTCTGAGCCTGCCGCCATCAGCTATCTCCCTAACATGCCAACTGGCCTCTGAAATCTTAATTACACAACGATTTGATCATCTTCCACTCTGTACTTTCCCCTTTTTTCTAAATAAACATTTAGGGAAAACATTAATTGTGACTAATAGTATTATTTTTTACTCTACTTTTATGTACTTAAATTATGTAATACTTCAAATATACGAAGAGACATAACACTAGCACACATACTGGTGAATCCACCACACATCTTAAGATATAAAACATTAGCAACAAACAGGAGCTGACTGTACGGACTGCCCTCCCTGATGATGTATCCCATCTATCTCCACGTTTAGTGCTTTCATCACTTCCTACCACTACCATTTTCAAAGCTTTTCTGTTCTCCCATCTTTTGGGAGAGTCATATATACTTCATGTCAATATTCAACTTATTCTGGTTTTTGTGAAGACTGTGGCAAGAAGAGTACAGGAACAACACCTAGACCTTTATGAATACAATTTAAGAGTTTTAGTCAAAAAACAGATGACCAGCAAAAATGTGTGTATATGTGTGCGTGTGCGCATGGTGGGGAGAATAGGTAAAACAAGAATGGCAAAATGTTAATAACTGTTGAAGCTAAGACTGATTTTCCATAACAGAAAGTTAAAAAATTAGATTCTAAAACACCTTAACAAGCCAACAATTATGATGCCACACATCATCACTTTTCTTAACTTGTTCCCAGTCCAAGCCCCGGCTAGTTTCCCAGGCAAGTGCAATGCGTCCCAAGCTCAGAGGCTACCTCGGCAGAGTCCTCGTCCTTCCCATAGTCGGTGCTGCCCACGATGGGCTCCTTCTCCCGCATCCAGGATTCAGCTTCGTTGGCATCGGCAAAGTACTGCTGGGCCTGCAGCGAGTCCTCAAGGTCCTGCCGACGCTGGGAGGCTTTGGATTTCAGTGACTCCCACTTCTGGTTCAGTTCATTAAGTTTGGCCTTCACATCCTCTGCAGCAAAATGGCCTGGAAGATGGGTGGGGCAAGAAAAGTATGTTGATACGTTATAGAAGGATAAAGAGGTCTGCTTTCTTTGTGTTCCCAGAACTCTCATTATTGCATTTTGGTGAGCCAGGCCCCCTCATAATCCAGTTTTAAGAGCAGCTCCAATCCTTTAATAGATTGTCTCATTTTTTTGCCTCCTCCAACCTTGACTTCTGTCCAGATTCTAAGAAGCAGATATCACAAGCTGGCATTAGTAATGCTATCATAAAGAAATAATAAAGTAATAGTACCACTGTAGTTACTAAGACTTACAAAAGCCACTGTTATAAGGCTCTTTAGCTACTTGATCTCATTTAATTCTCACAACTACATTAGGAGCAGTATTGTTATCTCCTTTTTACAGATAAAAAATTGAGGTGCAGAGAGGTTAAGGTCTAGCCAAGGTCATACAGTTAGGAAAACAATGGGGATGGTATTCAAGCCAGGCCTTACTCAATTCCATAAACTTAACTAAAGGGAGATATGAAGAGCAAAAGCAAAGCCACTTTCACTGATAGTAACTTCCACACACACTCACCTTCCTCCACCATGGCATTCCCCTTCTGTGTAACTGCCTTGATGCGAGGCTCATGTCCAGCAATTTCTGCTTGTAGGGCCTGGTGTTTCTTTAGTAGATTTTGGACTCCAATCAAATCCTTGCCTGCAAGCAGAAACCACAGCCTCGTCATCCAAGCCATGAAGACAAAAGCCAGCACTAACCTGTCACTCTTAGTTACCGCCATGACTCCAGTTTAATAATTTCAACTTTACTCTGTTGTTCTGAGACGTGTCACCTTTATGTTAAAAGGCTACAGCCCTTTCTTAACTTGGTTCCTATCTGATGGAGACAGACTGACCTCTGTTGGTGGATGCAGCAATGGGTTCTTTTTCTCGAATCCATGTCTCCTCATCCTCAACATCACGGAAGAGCTGTTGCAAACGCAGAGAATCAGCCAGCTTCTGCTTTCGGGCTATCATGGGTTCCTTGAGAGCCTCATAGCGAGCGACAAGGGCTTCCTGCTTCTTCTTGATGTTTTCAGCATCAAAATGGCCAGCATCTTGGAACTGGCGGGCCTGAATGGTGATGCCATCAATTCGATCCTTGGAATGGGAGAGAACAGTCTTTAAAGCTTGGACCAATGTTGGGGAACTATGTTCTGGACATTTCTAGCTGTGGTCTAGTTGTATCTAGGACAGGGATCCTCTTCCCACCCCTGAAAGTATTCTTTTTGCCATCCCCTTACTCTCTTGGGCTCCCAGAAAGCTCTGAGGGAAGACAGCTTAATTTGAGTAAAAGCATATTGAACATATAGGGTTATCTAGAAAAATGAATACATAACACCCTTCCTAATGCTAGTCTAGTCTTGAAATTGCTTGCCATTCTTCACTCCTATTGTTTCTGTGTTCACGTGCCTAATAAAAGCCCCAAATTCACACTCTACCTGGTGAGCAGCCACATCTGCCTCTAGCAAGGCATGTTTCTTCTGGAGGTTCTGGACATTGGTAAGATCTTTGCCATAATCATCCGAGGCCAAGTGTCCTTCTACTTCATACAGCCACAACTCAATATCCTCGACATTGCGATTAAACTGCTGCTGCTGGTTGGCTTCACGAAGCTTTATTCCTATTCAAAAAGGCAAGTTGAATTTTCCATTTCTTAATAGTATGCTTTTACCAACACTGCTCATAAACAATGGTATCTTAGTAAAGAACTATGGGTTAGAATTTAGTTAGTTTCATTTCTATCACATAGTTAAAGAAAACAAATTCCAACCACTTCTCTACTTCTAGAGGCTGCACCGAAGTTGAAAAGCATGCTCACCTCCGTAAGAGCACGTGAGAAGTATTAAATGCCCTTGGATCAAAGCTGAACTTTGATTTTCAGTGATGGGGCCCAATTCACTCAATGTAGCTTGGTCAATTCATTCCCTCTACTCAGGCCTCCCCCTGCTAACCAGCACATTCAACCACATCTACCAAATCAGCAAAGAATCAGAATCTAAGCCAAGTAACTCTTCCATAGGAAAACAGCCCTAATGTCCAAGCAGTGATCCACTAAAACACTTAACCAGAAAAGAATATTTATTTCTCCAAATAGTCCTATCAGAATCTAGTGAAAACATTTTCTCTTACCTTTCAGTTCAGTGGCCTCTAGCAGTTTCTTCCACAGACTGATGACCTCATTCATACGAGCTGCTACTTCATCCTTTGCATAGTGGTTGACATCAATCAGCTTTTGCCCTGCTTTCTCCAAGGCATCAATGCGGCTCTGGTTTGCTGAGAGCTCAGCCTCAAAAGCCTGATGCTTCTGTACTTTTCCTTGTAGGTTGGATGGGTCCTGCCAATAAAAGAAGGGGGTTCTATGTTGTACCCATACGACAGTTATCCTGGTATTACTTTCATACCTATCTTTATAGGGAGGATTTATAAATCAGCTTATGTTAAATGACTTGGTTTTTGGAATCCCCTATTTGTTTCTTTAGCTACAATTCATTATATGTGAGCATTTCAGATAAATACTCTGAGCTTAGCTTTACTAGCCAAGTGCCACATGGCAGTGCAAACAGTACGATACCTTATATGCTTCATCTGTGGCAGTCTTCATCTTCTCATTGACCCAACTCTTGAGCTCATCAGAATCACGGAAAAACTGCTGTAAGTGGAATGAATCAGCCAGCTGGGCTCGGCGATACATGGCTCTCTCATGAAGGGCATTGCGGCGGCTCAACAGCTGAAAAGACAAGGGGCCATGTGAATCTCCAGCTCTTATTCCCAACAAGATTCCAGCTGATTTAATATCTGTCTTAGAAGGGAAATTCATGGGTAGAAAGGAAGGAGCAGAAAGAACCTGGAAACTTACAGCATCTCGGCGAGTAGCCACATCTTCCATCGCATAGTGGTTGTTCTGAATTAGCTTGGTTGCAAATTCATCCAATGCCTAAGAAGGAAAATAAGAGCTCTTCTCTAGTAAGCATACTCTTAGGGGCCCTTGTGGTGCAGCAGTTAAGAACTTGGCTACTAACTAACTGAAAGGCTGGTGGTTCAAAACCACCAACCACTCTGTGGGAGAAAGATGTGGCAGTCTGATTTCATAAATATTACAGTCTTGGAAACTACCTATGGGACAGTTCTACTCTGTCCTGTAGGGTCACTATGAATCGACTCGATGGCAATGGGTTTGGACTTTTTTTGGAAGCATATTACTCCGTAACTTGGTTATCATACAAAAGGAACTGCTGAACAGGTCGCAAAACACTTTAAATGTTAACACTGGTCAAAGTCTTTAAGGATTGCTACGACAACATTTCCCCCTTAACGTTTGAGTTTTTGCTTGATGTTATTAGTCAGATGTAACAATATTATTCTAGTTCCATTCAAGATTGCTGACATTAGCTGCAGCAAGATCACTTCACAGGGGTCGGATGCAGATTAACAGCCTTACAATTCTTACTTCTAAGATCTGTTTTCAATGGGAAGAGCACCTCTTACACTAATTTTTAACTACTTTTAGTGAAACGTAAAGCTCAATTTGTAGATTTATAGCAAGTAAATTACTTCATTCTACAAAGTTGTGTATGTCTCCAATAAGATGGTATATCATCATCATGAGACTTAAGCAGCCACAGAAGTGCCTTTACACAGATCCTTCATCGCATCTGTTCAGAAGCCTAGAAAAAGAAGAGACTTCCGGCTTATTCTAAGAACCATTTGAAGTCACTGATAACAAAAAGGGATCTTACTGTAATCTTTTCCTCCTGGGCACTGAGGGACTTCTCAAAGTCCTCATGCTTCTTGAGAAGTGCTTCCACACTATCCAAGGAATCTCCCAGGTCTTCATTTAACAGGAATGCCTTGCAAAAGAAAGCAAAGTGTTCAGAATACTGTCCTATCCTGTGATCGTCTAAGACTGGAAACAAAGGATAATTTGGCCAAAATACAGAAAGGAAGAAAGAGCTCTATGGTCATTAAACTTCTAAGATTTCCTCTGGAAAGCCTAAAGTGCTTCTGGATTCACTTAAAAACCAACACGGCAATACCATAAAATCCTTAGTCCACATCATACAGAAACCTTTTTCAAATAGCTTTTGTTGATTCCATTATTCTCTTTAATAAGAAGCAATTTTATATCATCAGACCCATCTACAACACTGGAGTCTCTTCTGAGCCCCTTGTAATCTCAGCAGGGAGAGATGCTGGCAGAGCTGACACACAGGAAGCTTGTTGAGCTTTCCCTCTTTGCTTGATTCAGAACTGAAATGGTACTGATTTTCTAAAACCAAACAAACTATCTGAAAAGTAGACAAAAAGAAGACTTCTCATTCATTTGGCTCACAAATTACCTCTTGTTTGCTCATCCAGTTGTCGACCTGCTCGGTGTCTCGGTAGAAGAGCTGCAGGTCCATGCACTGCTCGTACTGCTGCCTGCGCAGCTCCCATAGCTCCAGCAGGGCGGCTCTCTCGTCAGAAAGGATTGTCAGCTTGGAGGGACAGGAAACAGAGTCCAGTTCACTATTTGGATGAAATGTCAGTCCCAACCTAATGCCCTCCAGTCAGAGATGCCACGGAATTTCTAATCTTAATCTTGAGGCCACTTCTTCTGATTTGCAAAAGGAGAATAACATTACTTGTATATGTAAGCCACGTCACAAGAAATACCCAAATACTGATCAGCTTGTATATACATTTATGCTGAATTTAAGAGGGATAGTCTTGGTCTGATTAATCTAGAATTAATTTATTGCCACATTATCACAAACAATTCTAGGTATAATGGTAAGTCAATTCCTAGGTAGAAGAAAAAAAGAGTATACATCTAAAAATGAAGTCGTGTAAATGGAAGTAAGAGTTTCAATTTAGAAAAGTCAATTGAGTAGAGCACCCATAAAATGTTAAATAAATCCACAAATTCCTCAGATACAATTTTTAGGCTCCAAAGTTATTGACAACAAATTCTATGAAATATCTCCTCTTAGTCTATATAATATAAAAATCATTATTTATGTAATGTTCCTTAGGCAACTTTATACTCAAAGATAGTCTGAAACATATAAACACAGTTTTATAAAAATTGGTTGCCTCTTGGCTCCACCTAGTAGTGCAGGACTCAGCTCCTTGCAAAATTCCAAGTAGGAAATGTGTCCCAAATAAATGTTTCTCTCTCTTTGATGAGACACCTATAAGCACACTGTACAATAATCTTCTCTTTAAATCTCTGAAAAGATGCTCCTTAACTCTCAGGTAGAATCTCCCTATAAGTTCTCTCACATATCATGGTGAGATGCATGTCCAGATATTTAAGGATGGATAATAGCTTACAGAGGCTAAAAAGAAAAAAAAACAAAACAAAAAACAAACAACCCAACTACCTCTTCAAAACCCCCTTTTCTCCTTTCTTACCTTCTCCCTCACTTCATCTGAGGCGTAATGACCAGCAGCAAGCAGGGCCTGACCAGATTCATCTGCAGATTTAAAGCTATCTTCATGAGCATCAATTTCACCCTATGAAGGAATAAAAAAGGCACAATTTATGCCTACCATCTTGTAAAAGGAGAACAGTCAATCTGGGTTATGAAATGTGAGAGCATCACTTATTAATATGTTCTTTTCCTGCTGGCTTTTCATGCCACCTCTATCAGATGTAAAGTTTCCATACATTCACATAGGTACGAGTCTCTCTTCTGTTTCATTGGTCTATTTGTCTTTCTTGAGCTAAATGGGCTTGTTTATTATGACTTTATGTACCTGGCAGAGTGAGTCCCTCCCCAAATCCAACCTTGTTCTTCAAAGGTGTCTTAGTTATTTTTTTATTTTTTCTTCTAAATAAATTTTAAAATCAGTTTGTTCATTCCAAAAACAAGCAAAAAAACAAACAAACCCTACTGTGCTTTTGACTGGAATTGTACTGGATTTGTATATTTTGGGGAGAATTTATACTTTTGTAAAAGACCATTCCATTCATGAACCCAATAAGCCACCTCGTTTATTCAGTTTTTCCTTAATGTCTTTCAAAAAAGTTTTATAGTTTTCTCCACAAATATCCTGCACAATTTTTGTTAAATTTATTTCTAAGAACTTTATACCTTCTGATGTGATTATAATTTGTTGCTGGTGTAGGGAAACATACTTGACTTTTGTATACTGACTTTATACCCAGCACATTAAAACTTCTCAGAAGGTCTATAGTAATAATTTTTAAAAATCCTGTTTAACAGTGTTTTCCAAAATTACTTAGCCATGGAAAATTCCCTTTCTTTTTACAGTAAGACCTATTAAGATCTCACATATAACTAGTTTCCATGGAACATACTTTGGGGAAATACAAGAAGAAATCTGGATTTACTCAAACCAACCATGAAATTCAACATTTAAACAAAGACATTTTTTAAGATGGTACAGGAAGGGTGTGCAAAGTAGAACCTCTAACTTGCCAGAGATAGTCTCTTTGCTTTTATGGATCATAGTTAACCTCCTGACATTTACCCCAAGATCTCTTCTATCTACTAGAACCAAGTAGAGCAAGTCTCCTAAAACAAAACTAACAATGATCCCATGAAAGACAGCTGTGAACAAGGTTTCAACAACTCTGACTATAGACCTCACTGGATAGTGACACACTGATGCATTATAAGCTAGTATCTTTATTTCTGGAAGATCCTGGAGACACTACCTTGTGCTCTTGATGCCTATCCAGCAGGGCTTCAGCCCCAGCCACGTCATTGGCAAGCTCATCTGCATTTATGAGGGCTTTCATCTCGGTGACCCAGCTGGTGAGATCACGGAAGTCAGCAAGGAAGCGTTGAAGCCTTGGGAAAACCAAAGATAAGTTACTAAGACTCTGCCAGTGGCAGTCCCAGGAGGGAAAGTGGCCTCCCTAAATATCTGAATTCTATGCTCTCAAAAGTTTAACAAACTATACAAACTCTAGTCCTAGGAAATATAGGATTCTCCCAATCTAGACTATAAAGGAAAGCAAAAGAAGGCTGAAATCAGTCCTTTAAAACTTAGGTTCTGTCCTATAATGCTCCAATGTTGTTCCACATTTTCACCTTCCTTGTTATTCTCAAGTCAACTCCTAGTTAGTAAGAAGCAGTCTTTTCCTTTCCAATCCTTGCTTTATTCAGTTTTAACAGGATATTTCACATGGTGCTCAGATAGCTTAGAGGATATAGCTATATTTTTTTTTTATAGTGCTTTCGGTGAAAGTTTACAGCTCTAGTTAATTTCTAATTCAAATATTAGGGGATATTTCTATTGGTCTTAATGCAGTGATATAGAAGAAAAATATTCAGAGTACTATAGAATTGCCAGTCTCCAAACTAACATAATATAGGTAAGCAGTCACCTGCATTTTCTTAGCAGATGAAACCTAACAAGCCACAGAAAATGGTTTTTCTGTCCATAGCAATGACCCTTAACTCCTGTCTTCCCTCTCGTCTAGAAAGAGTCAAACGATGCAGGCTGTTGAGCACTGGAGAATTATTTCTACCTGTATGAATCATTGAGACGTGCATGTCTCTCCGCTGCCAGAGTGCGGATCTGTTCCCAGTTTGTAATCAGTTCCTCTCGCTTCACTTGAATCTGAGTGGCGCTCAGAGGGTGGGACTGCTGCAGGCGGTCAGCCTCAGCACACAAGGCTTTGACCTGGAAACACACTCTGTCAGAATTGCTCTTCTGATCCTTGGTAACTTATTTCTAGAATCAGCTGCTTTCAGAACCTACCTTGTCCTCTAAAGCAGCAAGATCTCTCTCCAAACCCTCGTGCTTCCGAAGCAGAGCCTGAACACTTGCCAAGTCTCGGCCAAAATCATCAGAGGCCATTAACTGCTCCTTTTCCTTAATCCAGCCGATAGTCTCATCCACATCCCTATGGATAAAGGCACCAGTTAATCCATGGTTATGCTGATCCTCTAGGAGACCTGGGAACGCCACACTGGGCCAAGACCCAGTCAGCTACCGCATCTTATTAGCATTTGCTGTATTTTACTAAGCCCCTCCAAGTAGATGCCCATTTCTGGAAGCCCATTCTGACTTATTACCTGTTAAACCGCTGAACCTCAGCTGCCCCAAAAAGCTTCCCTTGTCTCTGAAGAGCCAGCCCTTTCAGCCGCTGCCAGGCTGCATTTACTTCATCCTGTTTAGCCTTGATCAGTTCCTCTTCTGGGTGCTGTTCCTAAACAAGGAGAAGAAGAGACTGAATTTGGTCATAACCTCTAGTTCTCCAACTAGTTACCCTAGGGCTGGCTCCCTGAAGTATCTGCTTTAGTAAAATCTCCACCATTCTGAAGAAAATCTATGACAGAAGAAATACTAGTCTTCTGGGTGAAATGAAGTGAACTACATCTTAAAAGGGCTTCTATTTCCTTTTACATAAAAAGGGAAGAGACACTCTCTCTCCCTTGGAGTAGCATAGTTAATCTAAAACCAATCATGAACATCAGTACCAAAAGCCTTTATATTAAGCACCTCAGCCACAACTTTGTGGTGTCTCCATCAATGCAACCATCTGCCCAACTGCTTAAAAATTTGGTATTTCAAATGTTCATGAGGCTGTCAAGCATTCTTGCCCAAACATATGGTTTTCAGGACTCCAAGGGTTTTATTCATTTGTTCCTGGCTTCAGACTGGAGACATTTCTTTAAAAGTACCCTTTCCCACCAAGTACATTTTATTGTTTTAATTAAAAACAATATGTATATATAAAGCAAAAAAGGTAAGCATTTCAGGGTTCTTAGAGCCATTTGCTGAGATCATGGGTTTGGCTTGACTGCTTTTCGTAAGCACAACTTGGGATGGTTCAGGATTGTGGGAGGTGGCACATCTGTCACTGTGGAAGGGTAAGGTATTTCTGAGGAATACTCGTTACTCTTTCTTTTCAACACCGACCAAAAAGGGAAGAAGCACCAACCCTGAAGCAGAAACATACATTTAAAATCAAATTTCTCTAAAAATAAGCACTTTGAACTCTGTAGTGGAAGGTGAGAGTAAAGAAGTAGCTTATAGAACTGCAAACTGCAATGAGCAATGAGGGAAGGTTGCAAAAAGGCAATGAAGGAAGGCTGAGTCAGTCTGCTCTTAATGGGCTCCAGATCTACCAGTGGGAGAGCCAGTGGAGAGCCTTTTCATTCCGAAGTTTCCCTAGATTCCTGAGAGCGCTCAGAGGAGCTTCGAATCAAAAAGAAAGGGAAGAGCAATTAGGCACTGGTGGACATCTACCAGTCCTAAGAAAGCATTTACTACCACACCCTTGTCTGAGAAACTCAGACCCAGTTTCAGTAGTCCAATAAAAGCTTTACCAAGCCCCACCCGAAAGTGGGTGGAGAAGACAGATCAAATGAACTCTGCCCTTCCTGCCCATGGCAACAAGTTAAAAAGCATTCTCTAATTCAAGAGTAATCAGTATTGTTGCCCTACCTAGATCTAAATAAAACTATTAGACATGCTCACAAAAACTTGCTTATTCAGAAACTGGGGAACCGATTCCGAAAATTTTCTTCTGAATACACTAGGAAGTTAATATAATGATGTTGTGAGAAGCACATACAGCTCTCCTCTGCTATTTACCTGAATGAGTTTGGCAGCAAACTGGTTCACTTCATTAACTCTCTCTTCATGGGCAGCCATATCGGTTTGAAACTCTTCAAATTTCTTCTGTAAAACTTCCACATGTTCCAGGTCCTGGCCCAGCTCCTCAGAAGTCACAATTGCTTCCTATTCAGGGACCACAACAAAGCCAGAGTTACCAACTAACACATGGTAACAATGGCTCCCAGAAGCTTACTGTGAAACAGCCACATTAAGGATGGGGCGTGTTAGCTTTAGCAGATGCAGTTTTCCGTGTGGTCTGTGCTTTCAGTTCTCTCATAGCTAAGAGGTGAGCTCACAGCATTTCTGTCTCAGAGACTCCAGGTTTCAGAGCTGCAGAATGGAGCATACCTACAGAGCAGCTGGAGATCAGCAAACCCACTTCCACCCCTTTTGCTTAACTGGCTGCACCTGCCACAAACACTGGCTCTTGGCTGCAGGTCTCAGAGCGGCCTCTCTCTTCCCTTTCGTTTAAGGCTTTGCAAACCTTCCTTCCCAAAACATACCTTGTCATTGATCCAGTCCATCACATCCTCACATTCTCGTAAATATTGCACCAATTTCTGGGCCTGCAGCAGTTTGATTCCTTTCTCCCGCATCTTCTCCAAAAGTAATTCCCACTGACGGTGCAGCTCCATCAAACGAGTCTGGAGGTTAAAAACCAACCCTACAGATTACAGCCAGTTCTATGGGATCTGGCTCTGCCACAGAGTTCCAAAGAGTTAGAAACCTCATGGAGCTCTGAATAAAAATCTTTTAAAAAGATAATCCTTAAACTGAGAGAAAATCATAGAATTAACTGAAAGAGGAAAAAAGTACACACTTCTAGTAGTTTGGTAGGTTTTAAAATTACAAAATAACTGACCTTTTCCATAGGTAGATTTATTCTAGTTTACTTCAGGAAGCTATTCCCCAAAGGGGATTCCTAGGCCAGAAAACTTGTGCAGGGAAAGATGAGGATTTGGAAACTGAGCAGAAATTACTGGAGGGTGTATTCTGAATTCACAGAGGTGTGGAAAAAACAAAACAAAACAAAAGGTCCTATAGACATCATAAATAAATAATTGAGACACAAATAAAGAAGAAAAATCCATGCCATCGAGTCAATTCCGACTCATAGTGACCCTATAGGGCAGAGTAGAACTGCCTCATAGGGTTTCTAAGGCTGTAATCTTTACAGAAGCAGACTGCCACATCTTTCTCCTGCAGAGCAGCTGGTAGGATTGAATCTCTGTCCTTTCAGTTAGCAGCCAAGCACTTGACCACTGTGCCACCAGGGCTCCTTAAAGTAGAAAACCTCAGTATTTTTAAAAGTAAGAAAGATGGAATTCTGAAGTGTAATCAACTATCAAAAAGGGTTCTTGGCAGAAAAAGTTTTAGCACGTCTGTGAAATATATCTCAAGTTTATTTCAAACTTCACCCAAGTGGCAACCACAGGCCCAAACATATTCACTTCCCAGCATCTTTGGGTTCTCATAGCACAGGCTCAGTAAGGACTTGTGAAGAAGTGGTACAAATTGATAATCAATTCAACGTCAGGTCAAGCCTTTTGGTATTCCAATCCAACCTCAGTGCCTTGATTATGCCTACCCAAGATACTGGGGTTTTCTGTATAACACTGACAGATGTAAGAAAAACAAACACAAAAGGTTCAAACACTAACAGAAAAGGCTGGGATCCACCCATTGTTGAGATGCCAAGCCCGGCAAAATAAAAACTTGAAAGCCATGGGATAGTCAACATGGGTGAATTCTCTTAGAAACTAGTATGGACGTTTAATCTGAAAGGAGAAAGCAGTGTGTGTGTGGGGGGAAATAAATGCTCACACAACTCACTTCTACCACTGCAATCACTTCCCCCACTGCTCATTAAAACGGTAACCCACCACTGAGAAGGAAGTGAAAGGCATTCCAAGGCAAGGGGGAAAAAGCAACCAACAGCAAGCCAATACTCCACCTACTCGGATGTGGGACCCAATGTGGGTGGCGGTGACTATGGGGCGCCATGCCGTCCGGTACGGTGTGAAAGTCTAAACCAGTGACAGACAGGTTATCCAGGACACATAAACAGCCTCTGCACTATACCCACCTTCCTCTGTGTTAACACTGTCTGCCAAACTGAGTTGCAACTTATGGGACCAGGTAAGTAGCCAAGATCTCCATGGGAACCGTGTGCACAAAAGTAAAGATCAAACAAGAGCCCTTTGCTCAAATTAAAAATGAAGCCACAAAAGGCTAGAGAAAATCTCACCCTCAGATCAACTGTCTCTCACAACTTCCATTTCCACACTCTCAAGTGAAGAACTGGGGCAAGGCTTCTTCAGTACTGGAACAATTTTCCCATCCCTGGTGTGTCTGATCTTGTCAATATTGCAGGTTAGAGAGAGTTCAGTTTCATAAGCTTACTATTGTTTTAGAGGTGAGTGAGCAGGGAGACAGGTTACTAGTCTGACCAAAGGAAAAAAAAAAAAAAAGAGTCCCTAACCACCACAGGTGCACTTAAACATACTGAAAGCTGACAGGGTGGGGAGCAAATCTTAGTTCTGACTCAGGCAGATTTCTCAATAGGGACTAAGCAAGCAGCAGGAGCTGTGAGAGCAGCAGTTGGGGAAAAAATTAAGGAATGCCAAAAGGAACGAAACACAGGCTGAAAAAATAAAGCAAATAATTATGACTGGAGAAAGAAAGGAATAGATTGAAATTCCAGCTCTGTCACCTACTAGCTGTGTGACTCTGGACAAGTTACTCAAAATTCTCTGAGACTCAGTTTTTAACCTTCAAGGGATAATAGTTACCTTGCAAAATTATTGTAAAGATTAGAGGTAACATGTAAAATGCCTACTAGAGTGTCTGCACCTAAATAGCTATGCAAAAATAGGAGCTAGTAGCACTTTTAAATGTTGCTTTAATAAGATCTCCAAACAGGGCAGAGGGTATAAATAGATCTGGATGGAGTAAGTGTTGGGTCCCCTTCCCCCACCCAATTAATTACTGAATCCAAACATTTGCTCTATTTCCCATGTTGTCTATCTGTAACGTGGTTATACCACTACAAAGTAGCTCCATTCACTCTTGGAAAATAACTTCAACCAGGGAAATAATAAGGAATGCTAATTTCATTTATTATTAAGACTGTATACAAAATAGAAAACAATAAAAACTTGTCATTACAACTCACAGCGACCCTACAGGACAGAGCAGAACTGCCCCATAGGGTTTCCAAGGCTCATTCAAACTGCTGACCTTCTGGTTAGCAGCCCAGCTCTTAACCACTGTACCACCAGGGCACCAGTAGAAAACAGGCAGATAAATATTTATTTGTAGAGATACATATAATGCTACCCAAGTGGGTTGAATGTAATTAAAGAAATAGTTGGTCATATGGATTTAGAATTTACTTTTAGTTCCTATTTATCATTACTAGTAATAGTAATTAATAATAATAAACTTAGGGCTAATTGCAAGTCTTGAAAGTCTGCAGAGTATAGCGGAGCAGAAGTGAAACTACATTTACTCAAGACCTTTTACTTGAAAACCACTAAACTAGATCCCAAGGGAATGAGACCACCAAATCTGGTAGCAGGGAAGAGTGGTGGATGAAACCATTTCTGCTGGGGATTAAGAATACTGCTTTCATCTAAATCTTCAGGATCACTTTGACAGATAAAGAACTAGAAAAGGCTGGTCCCTCAATGCAACAAAACAAAACATGTAGCTGGAGGGATACCAAAGAGACAAGAGCATCCAGTTATGGGAAACTCAGTGTGCATACCTCATTCTAAAGGGGTTTGTTTTCCCTTAATATCTTGGTATTGGAAATGTGTAATAAAATAGGGATAGAGCCAACTACAATGAACCAAAGGGTCTGAGGACTCCTGCCTTAGAGTTAGTCCTATCACCATGATCACTGACCACAGGTGCCGAAAATCATTACTTACAGCTGGACCTTTAACTGGCTTGCTGACAAACGGAAAAAAAAAAAAAAAAAACCAAACCCGTTTCCATCGAGTCCAACTCATAATGACCCTATAGGACAGAGTAGAACTGCCCCATAGGGTTTTCAAGGAGCGCCTGGTGCATTTGAACCACCAACCTTTTGGTTAGTAGCCGTAGCACTTAACCACTATACCACCAGGGTTTCCAGGCTTGCTGATTAGAGCTCAGTAAAACCCCTCCCAAGGCAAACTACCGAGATTCAATAGCAAGCTTCCCAACAGAGAACTTTAGAGTGTCCGTGATTGATCTTATCCTTATATTCTAATCCCTAAATTCATCAATTACACCAATATGCTCTCCAATCTAATTATGACATGTAAATGTCAGAGTTAAATTTACTCAATCTTCTTTAAAATACTAGGTTGTAATCACATTCTAGTTGTTCTACAAAAAGAATATTAATTTCCTCACTGAACATACAAAGACTTGTTTATATTCATGCTGAATTATCATATTACAAAGACAAGGTTTCAGTAACTCCTCTAAGAGAGGTCATAAATTCTTTTAAAAGGCTGAAGATATCTTTTTAGGAAACCCAAACTGACATGTAAACATTAATCCACCGTACTCCACCAACCAGCTGAAAGCCATCCAACCAGGCACTTACTCATACTCACCCTTATGGTTTCAGATGCAAAATGCCCTTCTGAGATCATCAGGTTTCCAGTTTCATCCAGCTTAACAATGGCTCCGGAGTTGGCCTGCACTTCAGCTTCAAAGGCTTGGTGCTTCTGAAGCTTTCCCTGTTGGTGGACCATGAAGACAGTCATAAAATGCAACCCCACAGCACTCATCTTTTGTTTTCCTCCATTTATTCCTTCCCTCCTTAACCCCACCCCTTCTTATCAACACATCACTCAGCATCTCACCCATCTCCCTATCTGCTCAATTACTCAAATACTGCATCTATATTGATCCTCTGAAAGTTAAGCTTGACCACTGAGAACCATCAACTTTGCAGTTAGGAAGATGTTATAAAATATCCTAGTTTTACTGTCCATCAGGAAATTAGCCTTTATGTGGATATTTAATCCCTTCTAGAAATACAGAATCATATCAACAGTTTTAAAGAGCCCTGGTGGCACAGTGGTTAAGCACTTGACTGCTAACTAAAAGGTCGGCGGTTCAAACCTACCAGCCGCTCTGTGGGAGAAAGACGTCGCAGTCTGCTTCCTCCATGAAGATTACAGCCTTAGAAACCCTATGGGGCAGTTCTGCTCTGTCCTATAGGGTCGCTATGAGTCGAAACCAACTTGACAGCAATGGGTTTTTAATGAACAGTTTTCTTAGCATGCAGTGTTTACCCTTAAATAACCCATCCACATTCACTCATGAGACTTTGTTTGGCTTGCTTTCTTTGATCTGCATACATTCCATTTCTCAATACCTCTTTTTTACAAAGTACTGAGCTGGGAAAGGGCCTAAGGATTGCAGCTAAACTAATGCTCATCATTTTCTGTTCTTAGGCTACTTTGGTATGGTAAAAGAACCCACGGGCCTAACTACTGCTCCACTAACTAGCTACAAAGACAATCGAGAAAAAAGTCTTTTCTCAATCAAAATCAATGAAAAGAAAGCCTGCTGCTTTACAAAAAGTTTTATTGTGGTATAATTTACATACCATAAAATTCACTCTGAAGGGTACAATTCAATGATTTTTAAAGGCTTTGCTTCTGATAAGACTTACCAATGAGTCTCTTAAAGGGACTTTAACAAATCATAACTAAATTTTTGCCAGCAACAACACTGTTAGCATGTCCTTCTCAAAAACACATTCTAAGAGATCAACCTAGACCTTCCCTGAAAAATGCATAAGGATCATCAACGGTTGCAAGGCAGTGGCTTGAGAACCACTCGCTTAAAGCATCCAAAGATAAATAAATACCTGCAAGATTCCACACTCACCCTAATACACTAGGGCTTTTCAGAATAGTGAGTTAGTCCTTCCTTATGTCTGATCTACATTCTTCCTATTGCCAAGGTCATAATTAACTTTCTTTGCTGATTTTAGGGGAAGAACATTTGGGCTCTCCAAAATTTGGAAGAAATCTCAGAGAGATCAGACGCACCTGCAAGTTGGTTGGGTCTTTATAATTTTCATCAGATGCAATCTGAAGTTTCTCCTGAATCCATTTCTCCAACTCCTCAGCATCTCTTTGGAAAAACTGGAATCGATAGGAATCTTCAAGCTTCTGACGTCTAAGGGTTGAGAGCTCCTTGAAGCGGTGGTAGCGGTCCAGGACCTGCTGGCGTCTCTCCTGGATGTCCTCTGCTGTTTCCAGCACTTTGACCCCGCTTGGGTCCATTTTCTGTAATAACAGAATGCCCTGAGATAAGCACTACAAGACACCAAAACAAATTCAATGGAATCAATCTCTCTGAGGCAAAGGGAATTATCAGATTGCCCTGGCAGACAAATGAACTGAGAAGGTAGCCCCTCCTAAGGATCTAACCATGAAACCGAGGTCCTATTCCTTTATAAAACACAGCTATCCACTCCCCACAACACCTGCCTACAGGGGATCCCCAGAGAATGCCTACCAGTATGCCAATGAAACCAAGTGAAAAATACAAACGAAGATGGCTTATACTGTCAATTTTGTAGGGGCTTTGTGAATTGAAAGGAAACACCAACTTTTGTACTCAGAATTATTGACAAGTCCATTCAAAAGTCCTTTCATCTGGTCTCTGCATTTCATTGTGTGGGGAATTAGAAAGAATTTACTCTTACATCAGATTTTCTGTCTTTCTAGATCTCAGCCTGTTGTTACTCATTAAAGAAAAGGAAACGATTAAAAATAATTGAATCCTTAATAATAACACCAGCCAATAAAATTTACCTAGACAAAGTAACTGATTTCTCAGTTACCCCAAAATGTCACCCCTCCAAGTCTTCAGAATATCAGAGAGCCTGGGCAATGAATAGGCTTGGTTTTATCTGAATGAGCGTAATCAAAAAAGAAAACCAAACCAAACAGTATCTTAAAAAAAAAAGGTGGGGGGGTTGTTGGAAAGATTTGCCCTACTTTACTCCTACCTGTTATTTTGGAAAGCAAGGAGACTGCATGAATTCAACATCAATTTCAAGTTAACCACAAATGCAGGCTAACTGGGCAGGTGGTACTTCCCTGTAGTACTTTAAACTCTCAGATTTCTGGGTAGTTTCACCAGCTTTAATATCAAAGAGAAAACCTGACCTAGTTATGTGAGAAATCCAGAATATGCTACCTGCTCTTATCAAGAGTAAGTCATTTTACTCTCTAACCAACTAAAGACCATAGAAGAATATAGGTACCAGTGAATGACAAAAAGCTTCTAAATTTGTCAGTAATGTGTAACCGTGCATGAGCCACTTTCCCTCTCTATGCCTCGATTTCCTAGAGTGACTAAAAATGACAGGTGAAAGTGAGATGGCCTCAAGTCCCTTCCAACCTTAAAATTACATTATACAGGAAGGATTCTGAGATTTGGCAAGGAAGCAGACCAGATAAGCTTTATGGTCCCTTCCAGCTATTGATCTATAATCTATAAAAGGTATAAAAACTGTGTCACCTGGGTAACATTTGGGAGTTCCTCCCATCATCCTGTTAGACTCTTCCAGCTAAAAGAAAAGGATAAGCAGGCCATGGATGAGAAATTGGAAATCAGTGAGTGCTCACTCACATCCAGCTTTGAGATAAACAACACTGGTGAGACCTGGAAGAGGTCAGAGTTTCTAGTTCATTCCAGCTCTTCAGGGGATTAAAGCAGCTCCCTGAGGGGTGAGAAAGCACTGTTTGCACCTGATCAACTCTGAGTGCTATCTTTCTATGAAGAGACCATCTTCTTAGGGAAGGGTACATAAATAAGATGATTTTAGCTATATCACCATTTCTTCCATATTATTCTCCACGTATTAACCAGTTACTTATATTGCATTATTGTTTTTTCACAAAGTCCAACTTTTTTTTTTAATAAAAAGAAAACATAATCTTTGCCATGTCACTCCTGTGCTTTAAAACCTGTCATGGATCCCGTCTGATAGAAGAGTCCACCACCTCTTTATCAGGTCATTTAAAGCCCTTCATGATCTGGCCCAACACACCTGACTGGTATCTTCTCTCACCTGTGCTCCCTCTAGCCTCTCGTCAGATAGAAATATTTTCTCCTCCAAATATATAATTCCCTTTAAAAATACCAATCCACTGCACATGCTTCCTTTGCTTAGAATGTCCTATGTATCTTTTTTGCGTGGGTAACTCCTATTTATATTTCAACACCCAGCTAAAATGAGTAAACTGCGGGATCTTGCCTCCTTACTAAGCTGTACTCAATGCCCCTTCCTCTCCTCCTTTTCTGATTTAATCACATTCTCTAGATTCACAGGAACGCTTGTGTATACTTCCCACGGCATAATTAGACTGAGTAACCCAGTCTTTGTATCCCTGATTTCTAGCATACAGAGGTCATTAAGACATGTTTGTTGAATAAATGATCGAGTACATGCTGAGTGTTGCAGCTGCTATGCAGCAGCCCTGAATTCATTCATAAGGGGTTGGGGGAGAGCTCAATAATCTACCCAAGTTCATTTTCTGGACTGTAAAATTGGAATTCCATCCAGGTAAAAGCTAGCTGAATGCAAAACAAGAATGGCAAACAAAAATGTACTTACTTACTGAAGCTTACACAACTAGGTGTCAACCTAATGAAGAAATCTGAATTACTAATCTTGGATTGACCACATGGCAATATATTCTGAGAAAGTAGCTGCTCTTTTCACCATGGTAGAGTGGGACCTCAAGAAGGCACAACTTTGTATCATCAGTAGACAGCTGTGTCTGAAAAAAATATTTTCTGTTCTTAAAACAGACTTTAAAGCATTCTTAAAACCAAAAACTAGGGTAACCTTGAAAAACTAAATGTCTGAAAAGAGTAGAGTTTCTGCAATGATAATTATTAGCAAGGCAGTTCTGGTTTACACTGCTTCCCTAACTACATCAGCCTATATTGGATAAGAATCTTGAGAAGGATCCCTACCATCATAAGCCACATTTACTAGAGTTTAAACATGATCTCATTCATTCACTTCTAGTTGTCTCCTCCATGTTACATATTACATTAAACTCCCTCACTAACCCCAAGTTACAGGCCTTGGGCAGGGTTCACTCCCCAGTTATGCCCAAAAAGTTCCCTTTGCCAGGAATGTTCTCTCCCACTCCAACTCTACAGTTTAATTCATACAAATCCCACAAAGCCTAAAAGCAAATATCTCATCCTCTATGAAGTCTTTCTGAATCAGAAGTCCTCACTCCCTCTATGCTTCCCTTACAGGGCTATCACACTCTGTAGTATGTAATGGTTTTCTCCCTACCCTTTAAGGGTACACCATATCTTACTCTTACTTGGAACCACTCTTAGCACAGACCTCAGGACTCGGCATATATTAGAGAGTCAATTACACTCTGAACTTGGAATTAAATAAACTGCTATCATTTTGGAGCCCTGGTGGTGCGGTGATTAAGGGCTTGGTTGCTAACCAAAAAGTTGGCAGTTCGAATCCACCAGCTGCTCCTTGGAAACCCTATGGTGCAGTTCTACTCGGCCTATAGGGTCGCTATGAGTTGGAACTGACTCCATGGCAAGGGTTTTTTTGTGTGAGTTTGTTTGCTATCACTTTATAAGTAAGTAATCAAGAGACACAAGGTCATCTAGTAAGCCAAGTTAGTCGTGGAGCCTATGGTGACCTGGGATCTTCTGGTTCCCAGACTAGCTCGCTAGAACCAGTGATTCCTAACATGTTTGGAATTGACACATACTTTATTGATGGCTGTTGGTTATTTATTAATTCCTTTCACTGCCTCTTATCTCTTCCATCCCCACTTTAGAGGAGAAAAAAGAGAGAGAGAATATATTAATCATTTAAAAAAATTATTTTTATTTTTAATATTGAGTCTTATTAAATTAGTAAGGAATTAGGATTAAGAATCATTTATATGTTTCCTTTGATCTCATCCTTGGGGAAACAGTTAAGATAGAAAAATAGCAGGAAATTATATATTTGCTTGTTTACAAACTTTTCTTATAAGAAATTTTCCAAGGAAAATACAGTTATGCAGTAACTATACTGCACATGAGTTCCTGAAAGATGTCTAACTCTTTAGGATTAATGTTTATAGGGTCTGTCCCTCCTCAGATCACAGGATTCACTACATTTCTAAAATCCTTTAACTGCTATGGAAACCTCTAAGAAATCACATTTGTGGAGCAGCCCTTTACAATGAAAAAAAAAAAAAAAATCCCCATCATAGTACTGCAAAGGTTCTGCCTAAGCCAGTACCTCTGCTTGCGCCAGCTTGCTAATTCGACCCTACCAATCCAGGAAGACAGTCCAGCGAGGCCCTGCTGAAATGAACCAACCTAAAAGGCCCTCTTTGTCACCCCAGTGAAGTAGAACGAGTCAATTCTATACCAAGTGCTTTGGTCAGGCAATAATGGACTTTTCTTTCCTGCAGTAGATCAGCTGATGTCAGTAGGCGGGAGCTCTGCCAAGCCACAACTAGCTGTCTCTGGGGAGCTGGGAATCTGAAAGTCATAGATGCTCTGCCACTACTGTCAGCATTCAGAATTTTCACTTGCATGATTATAGGGGCCTCAGATTATGGGTTAATAAGAGGAGTTTTCTCCTCTTAACTCAATAGGGAACTATGTCTAGTTTATCTACACAAGTTTGTTTTCGCTCCGAAAAAGGTAATTTCCAAAAACTACAATTTAACATAAGAAATTTTTTCTTAAATATCCCCAAGAGCTATTACCACCCAAGGGTGCTACAACTTCTCACCCAAAACTACTACTGTGTCAGAGAGCTGGAACTTCCTGGACCTGGCCTGCACATACCACATTCCTTTCATGACTGAGGCTGCGTACTGCAAGAACCCCAGCCCTGCCCTGGCAGTATGCAGCAGACTGATAAGGCTGACTTCACAGAGAAAGTTCTAGGCCTCCAGACCATTCCCAGCCTTAATGGGATTAACGCCTTTTGAGAGCCCTAGAAAGGAAGAACTTGGGAAATGTGTCATTAAAAAACAATTCCCAACCTTACTAGCCTTCTATCTATCCCACCAACTGCCTAAAAACCGCAAAATTGAGATTTTCCTAGTACAATCCACCAATTGCTTATCTCAAACCAACAGATCAATTTTGATTTTTTTTGTCAATCAAGTCCATGTACCCAGAGAATGAAGGAGGGGAAACAAAGTGCTAACTTTACTCTCTATTGTTTAAGAATAGCTTCCCATTTAAGGTGATCAAAGAAAACGGTCATTATTTTTGCAATGTTATTGAGGAAGAGTAAAGATGCAAGCTATTTATAAATGCTGCAATGCAGCAGTCAAAATGTTGGCTGCATCATTCAGCAAGTAATGTGAATTGATCTCAGGGGGATGAAACAGTGATTACGACTATGTTGTCTATTGTAACAAGTAAAAAGGACTTGTCAGCATTCTCACAATAGTGCCAAATCTCTGGCAAGAGAGCGGTCTAAAGATACGAATGTTGCCTAGAAATTTCTAGTTTAATTCAAAATTTTAGCATGCCTAAGAATGACTCCTTATATCCAACATAAATTTATACACATTATCAACTGAAAACTGATTCCTTCTAAAGAGACTAGACATTAATTAGTATCTTTGTCTTCTTGATAAATGCCAAAAGACAACTGTCTGAGGCAGTTCTTATGCTTAGGAAATTTTAAAATGTCATAGTCTAATCTACAGAAGCTATATGCTCCATTATGTAAGGGGATATATCTATCTTTAGGGGGAGGACAGTGGTAGGAATCACACTGTGTTAAGCAATACAAAAGACTACAGATACATTTTCAAACCAAAGGTCAAATGCTTTGGACTCTGCAAACTTGGAATCTTCAGAGAGTGGTTTAGGACTCCCTCATACAGATCTTGGAGAGTGGAAGAAATCAGCAATTACAGTTTCCCTATGGAACCCCAGAAAAGAAAAAAAAATTGCAGCAAAGATGGAAGAAGTCTATTAAAACCAGAAGCATTGGGACTGCCATTCTCTGAGCAGGTTCAGTGTGCTGGGATGTAAAAGGCATCTGGAACACTACCACATGAATTTCAATTTTCAGGCAGTACACCAGATAAACTGTTTTGCAAGGAAAGGAATTTTAGGGACTCCCTAACAGGATGAACAGATCCTTTGGCTCTATGGAAAAATTCATGAACATCATTCAAAGCAAAAGGTCACAGAAACCATTCATTGGTTTGTTGCTTAGTCAGAGCCCAAATGTGCAGAACCAATAAATGCTTTTTTTCCATGGCTTAGAATGCCAGCCTATGACTAAATTTTAGATTTGCAAAGCAAGAGAACTACATCTACGGATGTGGAAGGCCACCCGCACCAGAACAAACCACCAAAGGATTGGTTAGCACTCATAAAATTTTATACCAGTTGATTCTCAAATCAAACCAATTAACTCAAAACCAGCTTAGCTGCAGATTTTAGTGGCAGATCTGATAAGCACAGAGGTAAATAACACATAAATTAAGACTTTTAATGCCATGAATAAAAACAAATGTTTTTGCTCAAATCACATTCCAATCAGGATTGTGGAGCCACATTTCAGCCTTCAAATTAATTAATTCATTTCAACTCGTTAGCACAATTCTGCAGAGGTGAGCAGGGACTTAGCTCTAAGAAAGCAAAAGATTCATACTGCATTGCATCAAAATCCAAAAATGCAGAGCAATGTTGAGAAAACTTACTTCTGAATGCTTCCCAAATACTATCTTGCTGCTACTTACCTTTTAACCTGTAAAATTCAGATGAGAAGTATTTAAGTGCAACATATTGTTACTGTGATTCAAAACAGGAAAAGGTTATAAAGTGGCCCATTTTTATAAACCTTATTTAAATAATTAACCGGTCTGGTTTATAAAAACGCCTGTCTTGGATTTAACACCTATAATCACTAGAAATTTGCAAACCTTATATTTCTCATTATGGGATGTCAAAACATTAATTTTAAGCATTTTTTTTCTTTTTGAAAAAGGTTCAATTTTGCAAATACCCAAAAACTGTACACAAAACATGTTTTTTTTTTTTTTTTTAAATAAGAAAATGCAAGCTCCATTTTATTACAGGGATTGTAGCAGGAGAAATAAAACAATGGGACCAGGAAACAAACCCAAGTTTACAATATTTATCAAACTTTTAAAAATGGCATTTTTACTACATGTTTTCAGATTATTATTTTTTTCCAAATATCTAGGATAATCTGTTTAGTCTCTTGGTTCTTAAGAACCAAGTAACCATCAATAAAAATCAGCAACACTACATGCAAACACCAGTAGGGTGTAAGAAATTAATATGTTCATGCCTTAAAGAGAGGAAGGTAAAAACAGGAGGCTTTCGAAATTTCAGAGTAAATTTACTAAGACCTCTGATCATGTAACGCCAAAAAAAGGAAAAGAAAACCCTAACCAATCTGCTTAACAGGAGGTCATGCAGACAGGGTTTTTTCCCCTCTCTTTGGACCATTCAACCTCTTTGACACAAATGTGTCTTCACGGCAAGCCAGGCAAAAGCGAAAAGGCAACACATTTCCTGCATGCTGGGCAAATACCTGGACTCTGCGTTTACGAAACGATGACAACATGATGGAGGAATGTGAAGTCTAAAGAGGGAGGGGGAAGAGCAAGATAACAAGCTTCTAAGGGCAAACTGGACAAAATAATTTCGAAATGTATAAAGTGGATCTTTAAAAATATATGAATACAGGTAAAAATTCATTTTCAGATATTTTCCCGTGCCCCTTCTCTTTCACATTCTATACAGTTTCTAAATCCCACCAAAGACTTAAAATGTGGAAAGAGAACCACGGTTCTCTGGTCTTAGCGGTTACTATCTACCTAGGTGTGCTGCCTTGGCCAAGTCACACCCCCCTTTTGGGCCTCAGTTTCCCTACTTGTCAAATAAAGTAGTAATATCGAATATACTTTTTAAAACTAAACATGCCCTCCCCCTAACCCACACTCTGATAAGTGAATTGAGAATCCCAAGACCAGATGATTCCTAAATCCCCTTCTGTTCAGTAATAAAACAGCATGATTCCATGAAATCATCAGAAACAAGAACTCAAGCTACAAAGATCTGACTTGGACCTAGTTTGCCAGTAAACTTCCCTTACAAAATACTATTTCCTGTTCAAAACTAGTACAACAGGAATATGCAAAAAAGGTGGAAAGGAGGTAAAGGTTCACTAGCACTGCTGCTCTAGTCAACTGGTCCCAAGTGATCAGCTATGCATTCCTCCTCAGCATTCCTGGAGTCAGCATTTGTCATCAGGACCTTGCATTCTTCTACTGTACTTGGCTGGCCACAGCTGATATGCTGCAGCAGACAGGAGTGCCTAACTAGCAGAGTCCTCGCATAGCCCATGGAGGATTGATTACAAAGGCAGGCGACCTCGTGTCTACTGTCCTTAGTGCAGGTTCAGCAATGACAGAACTGTGGTGGACTATTCCTGAGATCCATTTCTCTGGATCTGCAGTTGGCCCCTCCCTTTGGGATGAAGGCAGGTAGGAAAAATGGAGAAAATTCTACCAGGGAACCAAAAGATACACTTAAAACAGCTCTCCCCACCTAAACCTGTTCATCAGATTGCTTGACAGGCTCACATTAGAGCCTGTGACGTATCAGATTTCTCCAATTATTACATTACTACAAAA